CTTGGCAACCATTTTTAACTTTCGTAGCAAATACGGAAGCTGAAAAATTGTAGTGAAACACGTTATGCTCCCCTACTTATGTCACACAAGTTAATTAATTTGTCATCCCTTTTTTGCTGGTTCTGTGTTTGTATGTTGATGCTCTGTGAATCTTATTGAATTATAAATAAAAATATCTTGTTTAAAAAAAAAAATGTCTGTGATTTTGTAATAATACATTGTTGTTAATTGTGTCCGAGTTTTCACTGTCTTAAATGTTAATTGTTCTTTGGCAACACATAAGAAAGGTCAGCAAAGCTTATTGAATTGAATTGAATAAAGAAATAAAAAAGAGGATAAATAAAACAAGAGGTAGAGCAATAAGATGAGATGAGATAAGACAAGAAACACAGAGCACTATAATAAGTAAGCAGCAAAAAAAAAAAGCAAGAGATAATTAATAGACAGGCTGAATGGCAGAATTTACATTATTGCATGTATTAAATGTACAGTTGATATACTGGTATTGCACAGGAGTGATGATTGATTGCCAATACTCAGTTTTGGTACGTGTGGTCTATTGGGAGCGCTGTTGGTTACCGTCTGACAGCAGCAGGAAGGACCTGCGGTATCTCTCCTCCACACACTGCGGGTGAAGCAGCCTGTCACTAAAGGAACTGCCCAGTGCTGTCAGAGTGTCCTTCATGGGGTGGGACATGCTGTCCATGAGGCATGATAGCCTGGCTATCATTCTCCTTTCTCCCATCACCTCCACCGGGGCGAGGGAGCATCCCAGGACAGTGCCGGTCTTCTTAATCAGTCTTCCTGTCAGCTGTCGAGATGCTGCGGCCCCAGCATACCACTTAATAGAAAATGGCTGATGACACCACAGGGTCAAAAACAACTCAAATGAGAGCAGACAACTAGAATAATAAGTAAAAAATATGAACTATATAAGAGAAATTAGAGGGTAAGGTGACATGGTATGATTAATAGAAGTCTAGAATAATGTGAACAGCATACAACAGAATAATATATAATGTGATTAAGAGTCCAATTATACTTAGGGCACATTCGCACCAGGATAGTCCAGGGGAATTGGTTTGATTGGGCGGGGAATGCCGAAAAATTTCACACCCTCATTTGGTTGGGTTCACTTTCACACTCCACTTTTTAAAGCAGACCAAAGCCCCTGGACAGCGTCACACAGTTACAACAGCTGCTCGTTTGGGGGTGGTATTGCCCGAAATGACCACTGATCAGGAAGAAAAAAAGCATGAGGAAGGAAAAACCCCGGCTCATCGATTGGCCAGGACTGAAAACGGTAATCTATCCCCTTCCCCTTCTATCTATCCCCCTAAGCCTGCACCTCCTCACTACTCCACGTCTGCCCACAAGACATTTTCCAACTTGTTCTTTTTTTACCTCTGCTTCTCCTGGTTTGTGCTGTTGGCTTTGATTTTTTTTCTACCCAAAATGCACTGCGCTCTACGTCACTTCCTCTCTTTGGTTCGCCGGATAGTCCGTTTGCATTTCCTACTGTAAGTGAACCGCACCAGGGTTCACTTGCAAGTGAACCGAGACCACCAGTTTTCAAGCGGACCAGGGTTAGCTCGTTTGGTCCGCACCAGAGTTCGAATGAGCGTTCACACCACTCTAAACGAACCGAACTATCCATGGAAGCGGACCAGGGTTCGTTTAAAGCGGACCAAATAGCACCAGAATGAATGCGTCCTTTAGTGTTGCCTGTATTAATATAGCAAAACAGAAATGATTTGGTAAGTCAGTATAACATTTCAAAATACTGTAGTGTGAGAAATATAAGATAATAAATAAGTTAAGATAAATAGATAAAGTAAAACAAAAAAGAATTAATAAAATCAGAGGTAGGCCTATGAGAAGAGATGAGCCGAGATGAGACAAGATGAGACCAAACGAGATAAGATAAGATTAGATAAGAAATAAGTAAAGATAAATAGATAAAGTAAAACAAAAAAAGAATGAACTAAATAAGAGGTAGGCCTCTCAGACGAGATGAAATGAAACGAGATAAGATAAGATAAGCAAAGATAAACTAAGACAAGCTAAGCTAAGATAAGACTTTATTAATCCCACATCAGAGAAGGTGGTGAGGTAAGGTGCAATGTAATGATAGTAGTAGTGGTAGTAATAATAATAATAATAATCGTATAATATAGTACTGTACAGTACAGCAGTAAAAAGAATACCACATGTAGTAGTAAAGAGTATTGTATGTATAATTGGTAACATAATATAATATAATATAATATAATATAATATAATATAATATAATATAATATAATATAATAGTATATTAAATTATACACTATACTATAATATAATATTGGACGATACAAATAAGAACTGGATGACAAAAAAATGAACAATGAAATATTTCTATGAGTGTATAATGTTCTCAAAAACACTCACCACCAAACATAAAAATAAATCATAACAGTACATTCAAACATTGTCTTTCACTCATATATTTACAACATATTTGTATAGCCTACTGTAAGTAGGATATTGTAAACGTGAGGTATTTGCGACGGCAAGCACGAAGGACAAAGAATATAGAACGCGAAACTGCTTCTTCGCTTCCAGAGATAGTACAAATGAAAGAGAAGTCCCCGCTGAGAGACACAACTGAGGGACATCAATGGTGACGCCATTAAAGCCGAGCACACACTAGCCTAGCAAAGATGGCGTCGGGTAATTTCCGATAATTCAGTTACGTGTTATCAGCAACCTGCTCCAGTATCCTCTGAATCTCCACCGTGTAGGCTCCAGGATGTGTCACATCAACTGCGATATGCTTATGGGAATCAATTTTTAGGTAACTGTGACACAGAGGATTGTTATTCATTCAAAAGCTCTACGACGCTGTTGAGGGCGTAATGCTAATGACGCTCTTTCCTCCACAGGGTATTTGGTCTCGAGACATTTTTTTTTAATCGCTTATACACGCTGTTTTTTTTTTTAAACGTGTAAATATCAACTACAGTTTTTAAGTATAACAATAACAGCACGCAGGGATACAGAGCCAAATCCATCCATTTGTATTAAGCAACCTGTTATAGCCTATATATCCTATATAGCCTATATATCAATATTGACTCCTGCAACCTTTCCACTCTGCACCATTGCACGACTGTCTTTCTGTCTGGACCTGTCATTGTATTGTTGTTGTTTTTTATGCAATTAAACCCCTAATATATATATGGGGTAAGATGCCCCCAACATCAGTTCCTCCTATAAACAATACATGGCACTAAATCTACTCTGAACACATGTAATGAATCTAATTTTTGTCACTGGATAAGTGATATGTATTTATATTAAGTTGTACATAAAAAAGCTTTCAGATAGATAGATAGATGGGGGACTTTTTATTTTATTTCATCCAATTTATTTTGACAGAAAAAAAATGATTTTTCTCCTTTGAAGTAAAAATGTGAAGTTTATTTTAGCCTCAATAAAAGGCTACAAGGCTTCTAGATCAGTGGTTCCCAACTGGTCCAGTCACAGGGGCCAGATTACTCCCCAGTCATAGTTCAAGGTTTAATACACAGTGCAAAATGGCTTTAAAAAAATGGGAAGAAGGCAATGAGCAACAAAAGCAGAAATGACCCAAAAAATAAATAAATAAAAAAAAATAATTAGTAAAAAAAAAAAAAAGAAAACTGTTAAGAACAAGGAAATGACCTGAAAAAAGTGTTGAAAATTCACAACAATTCTGTAACATATTTTTAAAATAATCATAATAATTATAAATACAGTTTTTCCCAGGCTTATTTTTTCCCTATTTTTAAAAATATATATTAAAACACATAGATTTTGTTTGTTTGTTTTTTGCAGTTTGTGGGACATTTCTTACCAAGTTGCTCATTTCCTTTTTTCCCAATTTTTTTTGAAAGAAATCACATCAGTTTCCTCAGGGTTCAACGGTTTAAATACTTGCGAAAGGTGTCTGAAAGCAGAACAAGAAAAATGATGTCGCTCCAGGTTTCAATAGTCAGTATCATACTTGCATTTAGCCATGACATCAAGCTAGTTTGGTGTCTCTGTCATGCAGCTGTCCGTTAGTCACTGACACCACAGCAAGGAACAGCACTTCAAAATTAAAGTGTTGTGCTGGAAATTCACTGTACTTCAAAATAAAGTGTGATTTTTTTTTTACAAATCTGACACGTTTGCCAGTCACTTGGGGTCCATTCAGAGTGGACCTACGACCAACTCTTGGACCAGGACCCACCAGTTGGGAACCACTGATCTAGATAATTCATTTAGTTAAATGGTTCAACTTGAGCTTGGGGGCTTCTTGTTCCGGGCAGGGGGGATCTTTCACACTCTTACTCATGTGTGTTTATGTGTACCTTCAGCTTTGTGGTGCCTTAATGTATGTGTGTTTCTGTGCAAAAATATGAAGAGTAACAACGACACATGCACTTCATTGGCCAATTAAAGCTAATTCTGATAAGATTATGAGGGCTTTTGGGAGCATTATAAGAGCCTGGCTTTTTAACAAAAATACAACCACCATGCTTTTCCTTCCTAGATATTTAATTTCTCCCTCTATTATTCTAATACGCCTAAAATCAGACATTCCTTTCATCTGCTTCGCACACACATTTAAATACCAGCAGAAATTTCACAATTTAAACTGTGATGTAAACCACTAAACCAGACTGCAGCAGTCCCCATAGCAACAGAGGAGAGGGTGGGCATCACAAAAGGCACAGAGGCACGTAATAATTCAGGCCTCCTGAGTTCACATCCGAGGCTGTGTACAATATTTCAGCCCTTAAAAAAACAAAACAAAACCACACACCACATACTCCACCCTGCTCCATCTCAGAGTCTGAAACCTGAGAGATTTCACTCGGCCCCGATTTCCCATCAGCGCAGACATGGTACGATCCACCTTCATAGGAAGACATTCACCAGTGGCTTCTCCCCTCCCTCCATCTGGCAGGTACCACTCACTGCCGAGGGGGTGATCCCATCCCTCCACCACACATCTAGTGCTCATTGTGGCAGAATTGCAGTGCACTGGATTGTACAGAGCAGGGTAGCATCCAGGCTGTTGTCTGTGAGGGGTGGGGTCCGGCTACACTGATACCACCAGACGTAAGCTTACAGAGGGACACAGAGAGGCAAGAAAAGAGAGAGAAAAAAAGAGAGAGAAGAGGGGGGAAGATTGCACCTGAAGAGGACTAGAATACGGGTAAGGAGAAAAGGGGGTGGATGGAGATAGAGGGAAAAAGACAATGGAGAAAGGTCCAGAATGGTTCAAATAGATCCGCTCCTTTGCTGCTCTTTCCCCCCCCCCCTGTTGACAATCCATGATTCCTTTTCTATCTGTGACACATTTTGTTTTCAGTCATGTGGATATTTGTTCATCATTTCATAAACGTCTGTGCGGCTGCAGTGTTTATTTCATTCTACATTTGATTGTTCTGTGGTTGTTCCTGCTCGTAGTGGGAGAAGCTGTGGGCCATGGTGAATGAATCTGACCATTTGGCCCTGTTTCTCTGGCATCTATATGTTTTGCTCTCATATCAGATGGCATAATGTAGCAGCTGGGCCAATTCTAGGACACAATATTGACTGGTATTTATACTTCATTATAGAGAGCCTGACTGGTTTCATGCTTGCTTTGAAGCCAGAGCTGCCTAAATCTATATATAAGCAGTAAATACTATAATTGATGAGCACAGCAGTTATAATACATGACCTAATAGTGCCATATTATGTATTTGTCTTAATACTCTTGGCTCATAAATTTGATCAGCCACTTAGAAGCATGTATTAAAAAGCTAAGATAATAAGGACACTTCAAATCTGCAACCTATAAACAATACATTTAGTCAAAGTGAAGATTTTTAGGATCTATGGATCAATTATTCCCGAAGAAGCAGGGCTATAGGGAAATTCAACAGAAACAAAAGAAATGCAACGATTTACAAAATGTATTTCCATCCAATTCCAATCCACGAAGCTTAAATGTTGCTGTGTTTGCGGCCAGGATGAAAGGAGACACCCCAGTGAACAGCACCATGAGCGTCGGCCAAGCCAGGAAGCTGGTGGAGCAGCTGAAGATAGAGGCTAGTTTCTGCAGGATAAAGGTAAGACAAGCTGCACGCCTCCCATTCAGATAGGAATCGTAACAGTGTCATGCACTAAAACACGTTACACTAAAGGGGGGCAGATTAAATTATGTCTATGATCTTAATTTGACTGTCTAAAAAATGATCCTGTTTCCACGTCACAAATCCAGATATTATTTTGTCCAACACTGAAATCGTATGTGTTCTATGTTGCAATAAGTTGAGTACATGTCCACACACAATTAGTCATATTAATACAACCACATTGGTGTTTAATGATTAATCTGTTGTACAAAAGCCAATGTTTGAATTTGCAGTTGATCCTCCTTTGTATTAAAGCCTCAACTCGTAGTTGAAAGGACGGCACTGAAGAGTTTTAACATCCACATTGGTTTACGGTTAAGAGAAATCACTGGCGACCTTCCCAGAGGATCCACGATACGATATTATCACGATACTTAAGTCACAATACATTAATGTAATTCTAAATATGTTGCAATATGCTGAGCATTGCAATAAAATATATCGCGATATATTACCTATTTTTCAACTGTAAATTTAAAGGAAAATTTTGTCAACATCTGTTTTATCTAATAAGATTAAGTTTTCAGGCTGTTCATATCAATTCAGACATTTTTTTGTGGACTGAAAAAGCAATTGATTTTATTATTCTAGTAGGCTATCTACAGTTTAATTTGGATTTTTAATAATAATAATTTATGTAATGAAAAAAACAATACTTGGCACTGTCTGACGATACGATATTGCCGCACAAAAATATCGCGATACTATGCCTTATCCATTTTTTCCCCCACCTCTAGGGTATACTATGCAAGATTTTTCTAAAGAACGATGTTTAAAGGCGGCATGGTGGTGAAGTGGTTAGCGCTGTGGCCTCACAGCAAGAGGGTGTCTGGTTCGATACCTTCTGTGTGGAGTTTGAATGTCGTGTCAGCATGGGTTTTCTCCAGGTACTCCGACTTCCCCCAAGAGTGAATCTGGGGGTTGGCAGTCTTTTTCACTCAAGCTGGCGTTATTGTTTGCAAATGGCCGACAGTTCCTGCATAGTATACTTTTAAGTCAGTGCTCTCCATTGGAGAGTTTCCAAATGGTATTGGCTTCTGTCATGTTCCTAAGGGCAACAAAAACACTTGGAAGAGGCACCATGTCTCTTTAAAAAGAACGATCCACCAGTGTAAAAATGAAGCCGGGGACAAACATATACATAACGCTAATTATGTTATGGAGCAGTGGTTCCCAACTTGTGGGTCGCGAGTCCACTCTGAATGGACCGCAGGTGACTCCCCAACATGTCAGGTCTATCTTAACACACTTTATTTTGAAGTACAGTGAATTTCCGGCACAGAGCTTTATTTTGAAGTGCTGTTTTGTGCTGTAGAGTGAGTGCCTAACGGGTACCTCCTTAACAGAGCTGGACAGCGTGGCCAAACGCAAGTATGAGGCTGAATACATTAAACTGTGTGGACCTTGAATTAATTACTGGGGAGAAATTTGGACCCCGTGGTTGAACCAGTTGGGAACCACTGTTTTAGAAAACGTTTTTAGCTGCTATCACTGCTGGCAAAACATAAGATTGGGCGGAGGGTTTTGCACTTACAGAAAAACATAAGAAAAAGTTTTGAAGCTCAGAAGTTTCTTTTGCAGTGAGGAGGAGCTGCTTCCTTCCTTTTATTCCAAGACTTTGCAAGAACTAATACACACAATGTAAATCTAAATATTTATATACCGACTCCCATACTTTCCACTCAGCCTCTACTGCTATTGATTCTGTCTTATCTCATTGTCTATTTTTACGCTCATGCTCTATTACCTCTGTGTTGGCTGCTGTACTGTGATACCTTTGTACCTGAAAACATCCAGTTTTCTTCCAATTAATCAATATTTCACCCACTCATCCTGTGAGTATTATTTATAGTAGCATAACCATGCACATTTATTAGTTCAGATATATTCAAAATTTTCACACAGATTTGATAAACATTTAATTCAGTTTAGGTTTTGATGAGCCAAATTTGAGCTATGTCACTGAAAGAAACCATGAGGGTCATACAGACCCAGAGACAGAGGATCTAAAACATATCTTTCCCATAACGTATACACCAAAGCTAAAACTATAAGCTAAGCTAAATCTGTATGACCCTGGATAAACTGTTAGTGTCAGTTAAATAAACACCTGTAGTGCACCTCTTACCTGTAGTGCTATTTATTGTTCTAGATTGTTTTCATGTGATTTGCTGAGTGTTGGAGATATCTGCCTAAAAGATGTCTGCCTTCTCCCCAGTATAATGGAACTACATGACACTCAGCTTGTGGTGCTTAAAGTGCCAAAAAAATACATTTAAAAAAACTCAACAGCAATGTCTCTTTGCAAAAATCATGACCCGCATTTATTTCAAATGCTGTAACATTTATGCCCTTATACTTCCATGTGTCCTTTATGTTGGCAAAGATACATCCACTGGATGGAACAAGAGGTTGGTGTCAATGGTTTCTGACAACAACAAATGTGGCGACAGTGGAGGAAGCCCAAATAATGCACCTTTTAATGGAAGCAATGTGTGTGCGGTGGTGGTCTATTAGGCCATTAAATACATCACAACATGTGGGCGTAGAATTCTTTTCACTATACTACTGATTTGTTCCATTCCACCATTTTTAAAAACATCTTTTTTTGTGTCCTAGTCGTATTTCGCTTGGATTTCACTACACTGGCCCCATGATCTCCACTGGTACTGCTCCATCTCATCTGTATCCTCAAGCTTTCAAAAAAACATGCGTAAATACTAACAACATAATTGCAGACAGAAGGCTCCGTCTGTGTCTGTATCTAACGTTGAGTAGAAATTAGCCCTTACTCAAGTTGATCAACAGACCTTGTTGTATAGGAACTATTTCCTTCTACTGAACTACACCTGCTTACTGTATCACTGTGCAGGAGGAAGCGTGCATCTACTCATGGATGAGAAGCTATGGAGGATGTAAACATTAATGACGTCCCCCTCGGCTGAGCTGTAACGTTAGCTTGCTCAGTTGTGCTAGGTGAGCTAGCAGTAGACGCACACTTCCTTCTGCATGCGGATACCGTTGGTGGGTGTAGTTTAGTCCAGAGAAAATAGTTCCTATATTAAACTGCTCACTGCAAAGTCTGTGAATTTTTTTTGAATAACCCAGGTCATGATTTCTGGAAAGAGAAATTCCTGTTGAGTTTTTAAGTGCATTTTTCTGACACTTTGAGCACCACTAGCCGAGTGCCATCTAGTTCCATTATGTTGGAGAGAAGGCAGACATCTCTATGGCTGATATCTCCAACACTCTGCAACTCACACCAAATGATGACTTTGTGTGATGCAGTAACAACTGAAAACAGTGTAATCTAATGTAATCATGTTCTTAAGCTGCCCTAAATCTGGTCATCCTCATTTCCAGGTATCAAAGGCAGCGGCTGACCTGATGGCGTACTGCGACGCACACTCCTGTGACGACCCCCTGATCACCCCCGTGCCCACCTCAGAGAACCCCTTCAGGGAGAAGAAATTCTTCTGCGCTCTGCTTTGAGCCCAATCAGGGATTGTTGTGATTAACAGTACAACTGTACAGTATGTACATGTATGTACAGTGTGTACATGTACTTCTGATCTAAATAAGACATCAATGTACTATAGTAACCTTGCATAGAAGCTGCCGATGTACAGTACACAATCAACTACAAAAACGTCTCTAACTAAATTCTTTAACTGCTAACGTCAATGTTAAGAGGGGAAGAACAAAAATGACTTGAAGCAAAACCCAAACATTCAATCAATAAAGAGTCAGAGATACACCATGATCAAAAACAAAAGAAATTTAAGAAACAGCTATCACGTGGTTGAAAACACAGACATTTCATGCTCACATATGTTACAGGTAGCTGCCAAAGAGGAAACAGTCTGAGCATCAAGTGTCTTACAAGGCTCCGACAGTCACAGGGACAGACTCGTGGATTCTGCAGCATTTGGCACTTTTAACTGGAAGGCCGAGGCCCCGTCTACACGTATACAGATATTTTTGAACTGATATTTTCCTCTATGTTTTGTCCTCTGTCTATACACAGACAGAGATTTGGGTTGGGGATTTTTAAGAACGCCTTCCAAGGTGCTGATTTTATCCATGTGGACGTGTAAATCAGAGCATTTGGAAAACCTCATCTCCTAAATTGCTGCCTGCCGCTTTGCTTACATTTTGTTAGCACTGCTTGGTCTAATGACTACTTAACATTTAAACTTAGTACTATTGCACCACTTCAAGGATGAACAAAGGCGTCTGCTGCACCCAGTGTTACTTGCGCCACCTAAGTATCCGCAGGTTTAAGTATGCCAGAAATGATGGTTCTGGATCAGGCCCGGTTGAACCAGCAGGCAGTGGGACAATTTTGAGATTTGGTTTTTTGTTGATAAGGACTATAAAAAGAAGAAATACTTTCGCACGTTCAGAGCATCACTCAAATCTTTGACTCCTCTTCGTCAAAAATCTGTTACCGTTTCATGACTGTTCGTCAGCCGTTAATCATGTTAGCCTGTCTGTTAGCATTGCGGGTGACTTGGTTAGGCAGCCGTTTGTCATGTCGATGACTGTTCTCGGGCTGTTGGCAACGTCGGCGATGCTGTTAGTTGACCCTTAGCAATATTTGTTGTTTTTTACCGAAGTTTTCTTGTTTTGCTCCAAGAAGACTGTGTCCAAAGGATTTACTCTACAAACTGAAATCAAAGGGAATCAAAAGTGATATAATCTCCAGGAGGTGACCTCGCGTGGCCACGCCTATCTACATAGTGCTATGTCAGCGCTCGAGTAAGGTCTGGAATCAACGCCTATCTTTCTGCTACTGGGGAAAAAACGCTCTACTTTGTTTTTGTTTCTTTAAACCAATCACAATCGTGTCGGGTGGCACATTGCCCAGGATGCAGTGATGGTGCTTTTGCAAAATAGTGTTCTGGTTCTGATAGAACATTTGAAATTAAAATGACTCCGCAAAAGAAAACGCCACATTTACAGTCATACGTCGACTTTGTGATTCAACTTACAGTGGTAAAAAAACAAGGGCTCTGGAGGAACTCACTGGACCCGTTAAAACCACAATTTCTTGGCTGTATGTGGCTCTAGCAAAGTCAATTTCAGAGTTTAAAAATGCGGTAAGTCAACTCTGACCGGATGTTTCACAAAGCAGATAAACGTCGGCCATGAGTCCTGCGAGACGGAGTCAGAGCATTTCCAAGGTGCATTCACAAGTTATTTCATTCATTGTTGATCGTGATAACAATTCACCAAAACGACAAAGCAGGCGCGTCTTTTTGCACGATTCCAACTCTTTATCAAAACTTGCCTTTTTCAGTGGAAAGTGTGGTTGTTTTTTTATGGCAAAGGAGATTTGGAAATGGTAACAAGGAAGGGAGACTGCCGGTTGATATCAGTGGCCTAATGGCAGGTTTTCAGCCACAGTCTAAATCCGGTGAGTCAGACTATGAAAAAGGTGATGTTAGCTTGTACACTTTACTACCTTTGTGACAAGGGGAGACGGGTGAAGACAGCTAAGGCCAGCTAGCATTTGGAGTCGTCATTTTTACGTTCTAGTTTGGATGAAGGTATTTTCTAAAATGGAGGTTGTGTGGACAGATTTTTTTTTTTAATATCCGTAAACGTGTAGACAGGGCCTAAAATCCCACATTAGGTCTTTGGATTGTGGTGGTGCTACAAGTCTCAGATGCTGCTCTGATAGGTCAGGGCTGTCAGTTCTCCCCCATAGAAACTGTCCACACATATTTGAGATCTGGCGACTGAGAAAAAGAAAAACCTATGTTAGGTAATTAAGTACGACATTTCCCATGTGGTGACTACTTGTAGATGGAGGTCAGAACACCCTACTTCAGCTTAGACATGCTTTACATGCGTCTTCATTCAGAGTGTTTTCTCCCATCTAGATATCACACACATTTTGTATTCCTCGTTCACTTAGGTGTTTCCTGTTTTGGCAGTTACTTGTATCTACCAATGACAACAGCTGTTTATGAGTGGCGTAGAATCATGTAATCTGTTTATTTCAAGGTTTTATTGAGATTTAAGCTCATTTCTATACTGTTGCTGTAGTGTGGATGTGGAAGTGTGTGTGTATGCATAGGTGCTAACTGTGAAACTTAAGCAACAATCCTGAGCATCTGATCACTGTCGAATCAAGATTTTATAGTTCAATAGCACACAGACCCAAAAAAAGAAAGAAAAAAAAACATTAAAAGGGGTTATGAACATTTAATATATATAATCTAAGCCATTAAAGCTAAATCAGCTATTCGATTATTATGACATGAATAATTTTATATTTCTTTGAGGCAAAAAATAAACAGCAGTTATAATGTACTTTTAAAGACAGGTGAACATCGTCATTTTAACCAATCAGGTCTGAGAGGTTCTCCAGAGCAGAACGTCTCCACTCATTCATGTGAATTGAGGACTGATGTGAACGACTTGGGGATTTTAATTACAAGGTGTCACTTTTTCTGTGGATATTTCTCCATCTACAGTACAGGTAATGGTTTGTTTCTGTTAAATCATACCCACACAAACATAATAAAATGGCTATCATCTGGAGTTCCCTCCAACATGGTCCAATCTCGTGAGCTCCGTGGCATCTTCGACATGATAAAACTTTTGGAAGACCCCGCTCTGGACCATTTCAAATATAAACCCATGTATTTTCAGTACCTTGCAAATATCAAATTTGGAGCTTTGGCGAAAAGAGTAACCATGGAATATCAAGTATTGAAATAAAACCTCCTGTTATCAAAGATTTTTTTCTCATTTGTGATTTTATTTGATAAAAATTGAATAATGAACATGTAAAAAAAGAAAGAAAGAATGTGTCCAAATGTGATACTTGCCTTTTATTTCTTTTTTAATAATAAGAGCAATATAAAAACTGAAGAGTTTTCATAGTCAAATGCAAACACATCAGCCAGTGTTTAACAAGAAGCTGCTACAGTTACATCTTCAAACAGCTGGTGGTGCATGGGAGATTAAGTGACACAGCCTGGACATGCACTACTGCAGGTTTTATAGTTCATCCGACTGAATAAAAGGTTTATAACCAGCATGCATTAAGGCATCTCATGTTTAGAAACACAGTCAAAAGATACTATCAAGCTCAGCTGTGAAGACCTGACCAAAATCAGGCTTGGTGATGATACAAAATACAGACTACACTGTGCAGACTGCGGTATTCCATCTTCATTTAAAATCAATGGAAACTTGGGCCACATTCATACTAATATGTTTTAATTCAAAGCAAAAACAATCTGCGTATACAAGAGCGTTTTGGCGCCATTTAAGAATTAATCTCCATCCATAGTACCACACCTTAAAACGTATTTTCATTTGGTTGGTTGCCTTGTTTGAGAAAATACTACAGACATGGTGAAAAGTTAGACCAGAGATTTTATTGCTAAGACCGACTAGGTGGAAGCAAGTTGTTACAAAGCAAATACGACGACATATCAGGGCGGTACCGGTCCTGAGCATCATCCATTTCTGGACGAAGCCATGAAAATGGAAAAGAGTACCCACACAAGAAAGATCAACTCACAAATAGTATGTAGACCTAGCTACAAGGTTTGACATGACAAGCTGGTACCAATAAGACCCAATTCAAAGGCTGACATGGGTGTCTGCGTCATCGCTTCCAAAATGTTTCTGCCCATCTGGACTGAAAAACAGCACCGGCGTATAGCAGGGTCAGCAGCGTTCTCAAAGGTCTCTGTTTTAGGGGTTCCAAAACACCAGAGTAGTGCGGACGCTAGGTGTTTACGCTGCAATGGTTTTGCGTTTTAAAACTGAAACATACTAGTGTGGATGTAGCCTTAACCCAGTGATTTACCGTAGTTTAAAAGTATAAAAGACAATACAAGCAATAGATTGAATGGGTCTCGCTTCACTTTTGTATGCAGAGCAAGAAACGAGGTCAACTTCTACTGAAGCTTTAAATACATTCTATCATACGAGTACAGCATATCAACTACTTTAGCCTCTTAACTGTTACACGAATGTTATGAACACACAGGGTGCTGATTGGTTGACCGCACACCAACAGGTTGCATCAGTCTCAGCGTAATAATTGTTGTTGCAACTCATTTGCCTTGACACCCAGCACTTCAGGCAGAAACAAAATGTTTTGTTAACTGCTAAATTAGCAGCATCGTTAAGCTTATCTAGTAGACACATTCTTGTACGTTATAGAAAGGTCAGATTTTTTGAAGCAGGGTTGCATGAGGTATTTATCTGTAGTCAGTTTATTACCTACAGTCGATAGTGGTCGGCACGCCCCCAGTTTGGAGAAGCAGGCAGGAGTACCGCAGCAGATGATAAGCAATGCACTGTTGTGGACAGGCAGCAGCAAAACGTTATTTAGCCACCTAAAATTTTCTCATATCAGTTTAAGTTAGGGTTGGGTACTGTTCACAAATGAATGGATACCAAAATTGGTTCCAGGACCTGGAATTTGTTTTAAGTACTTTTTGACAGTACTTTACTTTCTCTGGAACAACAAATATTGGTATTTTGATCAAGCTGAAGAGATAGTTTGGCTCCCTGGGAAGCCGACGAAACGGCAGTGAAGCTCCATGGCTGGCTTCCCAGCTTCAGTGCGTTTCCACCTCTTTCTGATGTTGAACCCGGCAGCTTTGCGGTGTGCCTATGTCAGCCTCAGAGCTCCATGGCTGGCCTCTGCCTTCTCACCCATATGCACTCTCAAGTACCAGCATTTGGCATGGATGGGTTTAGCGTGAATCAGTACTTGGTGGTAATTTGGTCTGTATCCTTAAAAGTATTGGGTTCAGTACCCAACCCTAGTTTAAGCGTACAGTATGTTTAGAATATTTATTCCTTATTCCTTTCTGCAAGGAACTGAAGCTGTTATCTACTCTCTCTTCAAAGCCACCAGAAGCCTTTGACAAAAACAGTGATTTTACCTTGCAGAACACAGGAGCTGCTGGTCTACTGCTGCCTCAGTTGGTTAGTTAGTTTGGTTGGTTTGGTCTTGTTACGGTGTGACTTTGGTGTTTTCAAAGGGTTACTTCAGATTCACCAAAGTCACGTGTTGGGTGAGGTAAACGTACTGTTTTTGTCAAAGGAGTCTGGGTTATTTGAAGAGAGCATGGATGGATATAACAGCTTCAGTTCCCAGTCCTTGTTTTCCCAAACTGGTGGCGTGCCATCTACCATCTACTGTAGGCAATACACTGACTATGGATAAGCCCCTCATACAAACCCACTTCAAAAAATCCAAATCATCCCTTTAAAGGCTGCTCATCAGCAATAGACACGTTTTTGACAGTGTTTGAGTTTGTTGAATCAGAGTCTTTATTTATATACTTTTCCATCTTCAGGTTCAAACAAGCTCTGAGCAGACCAGATGTCGGCATCTGGCCACGTTGCTTCTTCATTGGCAAGATCAAAAGGTTAAAAGGTTTTGTGACAGAAAAAAAACAATCAACTTCTCACCTAAAACCAGCGTCACATTAGTTTTGAGGTTTTGTTATCGTTTGTCTCATAAATCAGTCACATCCTCTGAAAGACACTTCAAACAGACAATCCACCTCTTCAAGAAATCTTTTAAATGTTGTTGGTGGACCGACAGTACATGATATCAAACTGTGATACAATGCACCATTTAAAAACAACACAGCTTACATCAACGTTCCTTTCCAGTGGCTTAAAAACCAGGCAAACAGGGAGAGAAGCCCAAGAGTTTCAGTTGAATTACAATACATAGAAAGAAAAATGACATCAAAATGTATCTGAAGGTAAAATTTTTAAACATAGAACAGATTAGCCATGTTTAACTTAAAAATGCAAATTCCCAGTACATGACCAACAACAGATGAACCATACATTTAAAATTCAACCTTTGACAGAAAGTACATGCAGTATTCTAATGACCTTGGACAAATTTAATAATATGGGCATGAGCAGCTTTTCCCCAAAACTGAAAACAAGACTGGCAGAGTTTCAGTCTGAAGAGCCTCTATAGTCTGTTCTTACAGCACAACATTTATAAAGTCCACATGAAGCGGCATAATGTGCATGCTAGCTCTGTGATTAGACTTACTGGTAGACTGGTATTGTTATTAGATGCACCTGTGCTTTTACTACTACTACAAGTTAAATGTCTGCCATAAAAGGGGCTACTGACATATGTGACTATCCGCCCTAATTTAATGTCAATTTAAAGAAAGTAGGGGGGTGTAAGTCTAGACTTACTTGACACAGACCATGAGAGGGGCATGTGTGAAATCTATTTTGGGGTCAAATAATTTCAGAAATACACCAACAGCTTTAAGTATACTTTAAAAATAAATGGACTTCAATAACCTCATTAGTGTATACAGTGTCAGTTCATATATATGGTGCAGCTGAGTTGAATTGAGATCACTGAAGAGGTAATGTACAGTTTGGGCTTCAGAAGTAGAAAACAACGACTGAATGCTTTATAAGAAGGCGTCACACCATTCTTTAAGACAGCCATAGCAGTCACCTTGTTGTTTGGCATTTGCCCCGCAAGTGTCCTTCAGCCAGTCCCGGAAAAGCTCCTCGTCTTTCTTTAGCACTAGAAACTGCCCGAGGACGACGTACGCCTGTGGAGAAAAGAGACGAACACATGACGGGAAATCTAATCAAGACAGGAATGTAAGTGTTTAAAGATTCCCCACATTAACGGTCCTGTTGTCAAGTAGAAAATGGTGATCACAACTTGGAAAACATCACAATTAGATATTTCTTTACAGCTCTACCGTGACGATTGCATAAATGGATGATTTGGAAAAGGGATAGCTTGACAACTTAAGGCCCTGATCACAAAGATCAGATAGACAGAGCGTTAAGCAGCTGGAGGCAGCTTTTTGGCTCACAGTTTTTGCATTGATGCATGCCTCGCATTTCTGCGCTCTAGCAGTGTTTCCCCTACCATTCAATCATAATAACCATTAATACCATCAACTGAGAGTGGAAAAGTACCCCATGTTATCTTCCCTTTTTTCCCATTGTTCAATTGGATGATTTGAGAGGGGGGGCCTTCTGTGGTGGTCACGACAACAACTTCACAGTTGGTGAACAATGGAGGAGGTACTGGTGGTAGCAATTGCTGGGTACCCAGAGCTATACAACTTTACAAACTGCAGTTACCACCATCTTGATAGAAAACAGCAGGTCTGGAGGTATATATGTGCAGTACCTAAATCAGCCATCATTGAGGCAAAGCTCCTGGACCAACCGGTGGTACTTCCCAGGATCCACCCCCTTTTTAGAGTCTCATGTACCCACACAGATCTCTGTTTCCCTGTACCCAACAAACTATTTGCGGACAGCCTCTCACCCTCAACCAGAGCTACAGCAAGTACCCTCTGCCTCAACATTTTAGGAACTAGATACTAATTACTGTGAAAAAAAGGGGTAGCTTGGTTACACAGGATGGTTAGGGTAAGGAGGTGAAGGGGTGATTGCCTGGCAACAGAATGTACGTGCTAGTTGGCCAATGGCTGTAGTCTTTGCAGTTTCTTCAGGAGCAACTTTTTAGTCAAGACACAGGTGACGATAAGTGACGCAACAGTCAGCCTTCATTGCCAACAGGTTTTGATTTAGGTTTGGTGTGTCTGGGCCTTTACAGTACAATAGTCCTAAGCAAATATCAAAATACCTAAATGACGCCCAGATAGATTTGTGGTAGCCTACTGGACAACAGGAAAAAGAATAAACTAAAAAGAATAGGTATTTTTTTTACCGCACATGATAGAAGTTAGTGTAAGCTTCATTGTTTGTTGTGTTAACTGTAAGATGAGGCCATTTTGACTCGTGACTGCAGTTTCTGTGAGTAATTACAGGCTATTCATCATTAAGAAATGTTGAATAGCCAGGGGCGTTGGTAGCATAGTGGATCGTGCCAGCGCCCCATGTACAGAGGCTTTAAGGAATGTTGAAGAGTCTGTTAATCAAGTTATGCTTGATTTGACTTCAACCTTACTGCAGGTATGCTAACCTGGTTAACACAAAAGTTGTAGCAATGACCTCAAAAACCATTAACAGCTACTTTTTAACAATAAACTTTCTGTCACTATAATTTGACATTATATGACTTGGAATTTTTATGCTATTTATATAGAGAAGGTCCATCAGGACTATACTAAAATTGAATGTTTAACACAGCTGTATTCTTAATTTTTATTAACTATTTTTTTATCGTTTTCATCGTTCTGTTGATTTCAAGACACAAACACAATTACTGTGAGAATTAGCACTATTGCAGTGAGGATAAACACCCTCTATGGACAGTGTTTTTAATGAAACCAAATGTGTTTATATTGTATTAAAATGCAAATAAATCAAATCTCCATTACCTTGTCAAAACCTTTCTCCTCCAGCCTTTTGCCAAGGACCTCTCCGATGCCTGCGAGGGCCATCACAGCCTTCTCACCCATGGGCTCGGCCACAAAATCTTTATGTTTTTGGGATGTCGATGACATGGCTGCTTTGTAGGTGGTCAGAGATCAGCAACTACTGAACTGTAACTTAAAGACAACAATATAAATTTAGATGCAGTGAAATTAATTCATGCTACAGAGAGAATGCAATGCTATTACTTCAAATTTCCAAATGTTTAAATCATTGTGTTACCCTCTTCATTATCTATGTCCATCTGTGGGGAACTATAGGGAACTGACAGCAGGTTTAAACATCCGTCTTTCAGTTGAAGTCATTTCATTGACATCACTTAAACAGCGCAGCAACTGAAGTATGCAGTAACTGTGTTTAATATTTGGTTTCAAATAAGTCTACAACCAACAGACAGCAGCACTCACTTGGTATCTTCCCTGGTAAAAGTCTGCCAGGTCTGTTCTGTTCTGAAGCCAGCTTCACTTTACTACAGATGCCTTGTCTGTTAGTTTAGGAGCACTGCCCAGATTTATTACGATAAAACTGGGCACTGATCCAAAACTAACAGACGATAAAACTGGGCAATAAGTCCTGGTGCTCACCCAGTGCGCGTTCTGGATTTGAATGCATTCAAATGAAAATATGTGAAGGGGCGAGATCAAGCTCAAACAGGGTGTTAAGTTTCTCTTTCATGCTAAATGAAACCATGAAAAATATATCACTGACTATCACTTGGCTGCAATGCATGCTGCTACGTTACAGGATTCCCTCTTCCCATAGGCCGTCACTCTGATGAACATGTACAGTACAGGCCAAAAGTTTGGACACACCTTCTCATTCAATGCGTTTTCTTTATTTTCATGACTATTTACATTGTAGATTCTCACTGAAGGCATCAAAACTATGAATGAACACATGTGGAGTTATGTACTTAACAAAAAAAGGTGAAATAACTGAAAACATGTTTTATATTCTAGTTTCTTCAAAATAGCCACCCTTTGCTCTGATTACTGCTTTGCACACTCTTGGCATTCTCTCCATGAGCTTCAAGAGGTAGTCACCTGAATCACCTGGTTTTCCAACAGTCTTGAAGGAGTTCCCAGAGGTGTTTAGCACTTGTTGGCCCCTTTGCCTTCACTCTGCGGTCCAGCTCACCCCAAACCATCTCGAATGGGTTCAGGTCCGGTGACTGTGGAGGCCAGGTCATCTGCCGCAGCACTCCATCACTCTCCTTCTTGGTCAAATAGCCCTTACACAGCCTGGAGGTGTGTTTGGGGTCATTGTCCTGTTGAAAAATAAATGATGGTCCAACTAAACGCAAACCGGATGGGATGGCATGTCGCTGCAGGATGCTGTGGTAGCCATGCTGGTTCAGTGTGCCTTCAATTTTGAATAAATCCCCAACAGTGTCACCAGCAAAACACCCCCACACCATCACACCTCCTCCTCCATGCTTCACAGTGGGAACCAGGCATGTGGAATCCATCCGTTCACCTTTTCTGCGTCTCACAAAGACACGGCGGTTGGAACCAAAGATCTCAAATTTGGACTCATCAGACCAAAGCACAGATTTCCACTGGTCTAATGTCCATTCCTTGTGTTTCTTGGCCCAAACAAATCTCTTCTGCTTGTTGCCTCTCCTTAGCAGTGGTTTCCTAGCAGCTATTTGACCATGAAGGCCTGATTAGCGCAGTCTCCTCTTAACAGTTGTTCTAGAGATGGGTCTGCTGCTAGAACTCTGTGTGGCATTCATCTGGTCTCTGATCTGAGCTGCTGTTAACTTGCAATTTCTGAGGCTGGTGACTCGGATGAACTTATCCTCAGAAGCAGAGGTGTCTCTTGGTCTTCCTTTCCTGGGTCGGTCCTCATGTGTGCCAGTTTCGTTGTAGCGCTTGATGGTTTTTGCGACTCCACTTGGGGACACATTTAAAGTTTTTGCAATTTTCCGGACTGACTGACCTTCATTTCTTAAAGTAATGATGGCCACTCGTTTTTCTTTAGTTAGCTGATTGGTTCTTGCCATAATATGAATTTTAACAGTTGTCCAATAGGGCTGTCGGCTGTGTATTAACCTGACTTCTGCACAACACAACTGATGGTCCCAACCCCATTGATAAAGCAAGAAATTCCACTAATTAACCCTGATAAGGCACACCTGTGAAGTGGAAACCATTTCAGGTGACTACCTCTTGAAGCTCATGGAGAGAATGCCAAGAGTGTGCAAAGCAGTAATCAGAGCAAAGGGTGGCTATTTTGAAGAAACTAGAATATAAAACATGTTTTCAGTTATTTCACCTTTTTTTGTTAAGTACATAACTCCACATGTGTTCATTCATAGTTTTGATGCCTTCAGTGAGAATCTACAATGTAAATAGTCATGAAAATAAAGAAAACGCATTGAATGAGAAGGTGTGTCCAAACTTTTGGCCTGTACTGTACATCTGTCAATCTGTTACACCAAAATATCCACTGCTCCCACAATATTATCAAAGCTTTTAATGTACCCATTTTTTAAAGTATGTACATACAATCTGTCACTGTCAATACAAATCCTACATGCTGTGAGCTATATACAATATATAGGACTTTTTCATGGTATGCTAACCGTCTCAGAAAATATTCCAGTTTCACAGTACCATGGTTTTACAGAATTTATACTATTATCAATCAAAATGACCCTTAAATGAATGAAAATGAAAGGGTTATTGTTGGTTAAACAAACATTTTATTACTGTAACCGAAAACTGAAACCATTTCATGAATGGAAGTACGAGTAAAAAGTCCTCCCCTTTGAAAATAACTAAATTAAGGGTGAGATTCTCTGTCCAGTTATATCATAGATAAGCAAATGTACACAGTATGATAACCATCAACTTTTATATTAAGGTATACCGCTATATCCCTAATGTATATATACTCAAATCATTGTCACTTCATGTGCTCTTCCTACCTTTTATATTTGCCTTCTTACTTATTTTCATATTACTTACTTATTTTCATATTTCTTGTCTTTTTATATTTCTTACTTATTTATATATTTCTTACATATCTTTTGATATTTTCTTCATATGTTTTATATTTATTGTATATATTTGTATTGTTTACATGGGCTATACCGGGACCTGAGAATCAAAATTTCGTTCCACTGCATGTAAATGCGATGTGAATGACAATAAAAGATCCTTGAATCCTATATTCGTTTGTGTATTTATTTTTTTTTGCACTATATGTATGGTTTACAACTTATACAACACTTCACTCATATAGGCTATAGCCATTTTTTATTGCATGGTGTCTACAGGTATCAGACAATTAAATTTAATGCTTTTCAAGACACCTTTTAACCAAATTTAGGACAGATTTTTGGACAAATCATGTTTTGCAGGTAAGCACTGAAGGTAAGTAGTATGGATGTGGTCTTGTGCAGAGGTAGGTGTTATGTAGGAATATGGTTATTAGATTCAGTTAAGTGAATCTACATCGACATTTATTAAGGCTTTATTGAATTTAAGACATTTTAAAGGACCTGTAGACACTCTGTATTGACATTGATCTGCAACACTGCAGCTGTCAAACAACTTCCGAGGGAAAAGACAAACAGAAATTGCTGATTTTAACATTTCTTTTAACTTATTTGGAGAGTAGCTACAAGGATTTTGAGGAATGGGATGCCGCTGAAGAAAAAGAAATGGAGAAGGAAAGAAAAAAAATCAAGCGAAAAACGGCACAAGGAACTGACCCCTGAAGAGCTTCAAGTGATAGAGGAGGAGAAAGATGAGATAAATACAAAAAAGACAACAAAATGGGCTACTGTACTATATTGTACTGCACTACTACTATACTGACGGACTTTCTCTGCCAAAAACAAAAGAACACGGATTTGAATACACACTTTATGCCTCGGTTCAGTCCACTAAGCCTGGGTGAGTACAAAACTTTCACCAAAAGCTGTCGAATCCGGTCGGTTTTAATGCACTTCGCGGAGGCAGACACCATTATTTATTTAACTGATAATTAGCCGTGTAATAAGCGGGATAATGTATAATAAAACCCCTCCGCTGCGCGTCGGTTTTCTATTCCCCTGTCGGGAGTTATTTTCCCAGTATTCACCGGCTCATTATACATTATCTCTTGTATATTTTGAATTTAAGTACTATTTAATATAATTTATATTCTCATATATTTCATTTTGATCTGTTTTTGTCTTCCCGTATTTACATGTATATCACTGTCCACATTCTGTTTGATTACTTGCTGCTGTAACACAAGAATTTCCCAGTTTGGGATTAATAAAGTACCATCTATCTATCGATTTATATCTATATCTATATATACACACACACACCTGTTTTTTACATCCTTGTGTACAGCAGAGTCCTGCCCATTCTTTACGTGTCTTTGTCCACCTTTGTTGTCCTTTTTCCTAGCAGTTATGTCTATTTCTGTGTCAGTTCACTGGGAGCAAAAGTCATTGTATGTGTACACATACTTGGTCAATAGAAGTTTTGATTCTGAAACACCATGTGCACTGACGTGAGAGGGTCGGTTGGTGTTCAATATACTACAATGAATTGGTATATCCCTATAAAAGACATTTAAATCAAATGAAAGTTGGCTGATGCAAAATATATGTAAATACCAGCAGACTTTGCATTGGTATCACAGGCCTGTTGTTGTGACAAAGAACCTGGCAACCTCAAACGAGCGGCTAACTTAATGAAGGAAGTCTTCACTAGTGCAGTCACTTTTAATTTAAAATAATATTAATGTTTACCTGGTATTCAAACAGCTAAACACCAAGAAACACCACACTAGCATACATGTGTTCACACTCGCTGATATAACTTAGCAACTGACTAGCAACAAAACGCTACACCCCCACTGTGTTGAATTGCGCGCGCATTACGTTTCAGTGCTAATAGCTTTAGCACAGCGAGCTAACTTTACTTGATTCAGACTGCGGTATCCTTTATTTCCCTACGAGTCGCCGCAGCTGCTACCACTACGTGATCCTTAAATAATGCCCGCAATATCGCAGTCGACGAAGTCAGCGCTGTGAAGCAGGAGAGCGTTAGTAGCCCAGAATTTAGGCGCCTTCACATTGACTCAAAACTAAAGTAGCTTCAACTGTAGCTAGCTAACGCCTCTTTATTGTACTGCTTTAATCGGCTAACGCTCATTTTTTAGCTAACGACAGCCACATGGTATAACGGCTGAGTATTAACTTACCGTGTAATGTCCTGTCCAGGCTGAATATTAGCGTGGCTCGCTTGAAAGCCGTGTATGGTTTCTGTTTCTATCACCGGCGCACACAAGGACCAGAATGCAATGCGCCCGTTTCTTGCGTCTCTACGTCATAGGGTGACGTTAAACCCAATATTGTTCCCTAATCATTGTCTTACAGGATGACCAGATCAGGGCCCACTTCCAAATTTAGCTCATTCAGACTAACAGGCAGATGCCAGTCCAATGTATTTATGTTTATTCTCATCCATTTGCAGTTTTTTGATTGACAAGCATGTAATTCGTTGGATCCTGATCATGTGATCGTTTGAAAATCATCCCAGCATGCACTGAGGCAGCAGATTCATTCATAAGCTCATTGTTACCTGTGATATTTTATTGTCTGTTGTGCTCCATGATGTTTCCACTGTGTTAAACATGACCAGTGAATGTGGGCAGACTATGAATAATGTTGCATGATGAGGTGAGGATGCTTTTAAGTGACAATCATATGCCAATTATAAAAATGAAACCTTACTAATTTTTTTAAATCAACTGTAATTGCGTTAACTTTTTGCTGTGAATCATTTCACACATTTTAGTGTTCAAATGACAAATTCCTATTGTAATGTCAAATTAAATACTATATGTTCTGGCTCCATTAGTTAAGTGAGAATCTTTTAATTGAGTTTATGCCATTACGCTCAGTCTCTCACAATAAATTTGGTTTGTTTCTTCTCTGTTCACAAATTTTCAGAAATTTTATTTAGTTTTATCATGTCCAATTTCATTATGGAAATGTAATTATTATACTTACAGATCATGGAAACTTTACAATAACCTGCATGTTCTTATCTAAAAATCACATCAATAGTCTTTTATTATGAAACCAAGAAATTGAGCCATTTGTATATGAAAATTATCTGGATAACTTGATTATCCATGTACCTAGAACAGGACTCAAGTAACTGACAAATTAAACTGGATCATTGAAAGAACTTTGATTAAAAGATTTTAATGGGAGAACTACCTAAATTAAGAATTCCAATATCTTACTTTCATGGCCAAGGAAAGTTCAATTGATGTCATTTAGTCTGAAGCTGTTCCATAGACAATGAATAGGAGCCTAATTTTGTGGACCCATAGAATGTTTTTTTTTCATACCCAAAATGAGCTTTATTCTATTATATTCTCAGCCCCTAACAGAAAATGTACCCATATACTCAGAACATTCCCCTGGTGCTCTGTGTCATCTCTAACATTTGTCCCTATTCACTGTCTGTGGAGCAGCTCCAGACTTTGTACCCGATGACATAACAAGTTTGAGTTTGAGCACTCTAGATTTTGGATTCAAGAGTGTTGTTCATGTTCACTTATATGTTTGGACTGTCTTAGATCATAGGGATTTTAAAAAAAGGCCCAGATGACAGACAATTATGACATCATAGCCACAGAGTGTTTCTCTAGTAGGAAGACATACAGGCAACAAAAGCCCATATGTGGCGACTGTGATGCATAAGTTTGTATCAATAATAATTATCCTTATAGTAAGGAGATTGTAGCTGTTGGTTATTTTATTAAAACACTAAATAACTTGCACTATGAGCAATACAGACAAACACTGATTATTGCTTTCAAGGTGACTTTTATTAACTCACAAGTATCAGTATACAGAGGATAACACTTTTTCCTTTGGACTGCCATTCATGCTGTATTTGTGCGCATTAATTACTTTCAAGCTCTGTTTTCGACACTAGCATCCATGTGGTTTTTGCATCCGTGTTTGGGAAAAAGGAGAGGGCTGTTACAGGTTGGTATTGGGCTGTGATAGTGCAACTTTTACAGGAAAAGGAGTGCTTGTATTTTGGGTTAATACACTCTGAATGAGCCTACAGCTCAGACAGAATGTTAGGAGCCAGGCTGCAGGTCAGCCCAGTGCCATCAGGCTCCACATTGATCTTCTTAACAACTCCATCTTCCACCAGCATAGAATATCTGAAACACAAGATGATGTACAACCTGATTATTTATTCCAGTAAAAGTCACACACTGACTATGATGCACCTACTTTAAAGACTGACTGAATAAAAGATGGATTTTTCTCCATATTGTTCTGGAAATACTGATGTAATCATTGACCTCTGCAACATGAAGAGAGTCCAGTGACAGGTGTTCAAGAACTCTCATATGATTACATGTAAGTCAGCCTCTTAAATCGATGTGTTTGAAATCACTCATCCCAAAATAAACAGACACTCAACTCTATAGTGACCAAATATTGCAATTTTTGCATCTATAAAATGTAACATTGTGGTATTGTAAGCAAAAACTGGTGTACATGCCACAAACGCTACTTTTTTTGTTCCATTTTAAGAATTTTTGAGGCCTCTATATGTTCACTTGCGTATTTGAATACTCAAAACAAAATGGTTGATAATTAGTGCCATTATTAAAGTAAATAGGGAGTGATTTCCGATGCAGCCTGATCAGGAATGGATGTGATAAATCTGTTCTTGCAAAACTGAAATAAGCAAAAGGATCATTACCTCTTGGATCGCTTGTTCCCAAGTACCTGCACAATCTGATCACTGTCAAGCAGCAGGTCCACTGCCTTTGTGAAAGCGCCAGTTGGATCAGCCAGCATTCGAACCTGCAAAAGAAAGTTACAGTACATGAAATGGACAATGACATCTACTGTGTCATCAGAATCTCCAAAGTAAGGATACTGATGTCCTGAACTGGCCTTTCAAGACACAAGGATAATGTCAGTGAGCTTATACATTAAGGGTGTGATAGCTCATCTTTGCATCATCATCTACTATTAGCATCTCATTGTCAGAGTGACCAAAATGTTATGTGTAGTTAGTTACAATTTCTGAAATGCCTCTATTGTGCACTCAGTCCAGTGTACTTTATTAAAGTTGAATTATACCAAATAAGATTTCCCTTAATGTACACAAAATATTTTACAGGTATTGTCCACAGTTCTTTAAACATTTAAAGGGTTGGTTCATCTTTTTTATGGAGGGGGGAGGATTATGGGGCCGTACACACGCTGCTTCTTTAACCGTCTGGAAAATGCGAGGTCAGGCGCTGGGCGCAACTTCTGTGCCTTTTTTGAGCCAGCTTTCAAAAGCACAGCGGTAGGTTGCATCTGAGGTTGATTAATAAGTACTGTATCGTAGCCTATTTACCTGAAATCCTGTCCCAGGGACGATATGCTCACACACAAAGCTCTGGATAGCCCTAAACTAATCTGTTAAACTAATGATCAACTTTTCCATATTTACCACAGACTGATAGTCATGGAAGAAGGGAAAGATATCTGTCGACTGTGATTGGTTGTTCCTCATCACATGACATGCAGCGCGTGCTGCTGTGTTCCATAAGTTGAACTTGGTTTATTTCAGCGCGCAGCCATCGCACCCTGAAAAATAGGCACTTGTGAACGCGTGCATGCCGCAACGGCGTTTCTCTGGCGCTTGAGTGTGCCTGCCACACATCCTCATTGAAAACAATGAATTTGAGTGCGCAAAAACACATGGCATGTGTATGGCCCTTATATCATTCTGCAGCTTCCTAGTAGTGTTCCGTATGTATTCAAATCCCCTTCTAAAAACATTTTCACACATGACCTGCGTAGGTTTAAGCATGATGATATTGCTACATATAAACCCCCTAGCTCGCCTGCTGTGCCTCTTTGTAACTGAGTCAAGATTTTTTGATAATTGTGTATTATTGATCTTCCATATTGGCTATATTCCTCTAACCCAGTTAACTGGCATGGAAGCTAAGTGACGTGCTACCATGGATGCCACGTTAGTTCACATCTGAAAGTCAGACAACAGCACAAACAAACTAATTGATCAAGACACCAGCAACTTAAGCTCTGTGAGGTAAAATTACTGTGTTTGTCAAAAGAGTTTGGTGGCTTTCAAAACAGTGATATAACAGCTTCTGTTTCTCATCAGAAAAGGCTGTCAGACAGCTAGGTTAAGAGGTGAAAATATTACACTGACTATGGATAAGTACCTCATACAACCCCACTTCTAAAATCCAAGCTAACCCTTTCAGTTATTATTATTATTATCATCAGCGCTGTAACCTACGCCACTGCTTTTTGCTAACGGCTGAATGGTTGTTTCCGTTTGAAGAACCCAGAAAACAACACAAATGGACCCACCCTTTAAGATGTGGGATAATAACATTACTCTCCTCTGAATGATGATGATGATGATGATATATGAACATTTATCCCACAACGTGACTTGGTGCAGGTTATCACAGAAACTGCTCACGTAGTCAATACCTTGCCATCTGTTCCGTGCTCCTTTCCCCAGGCAGCCATGACAAACGCGTCATTGACAGAAATGCAAGCAACCTCCTGGATACCTTTACCCCTCAAGTCCTCAGCCTGCTGCACAAAACCTGGGAGGTGCGTCTGAAAGCAACAATATAAATACATCATTAGCTGATGCAATGATGATTGTGCAACAGACACAGCGAACAAAGAGGACAGTGTGTACTCAACCTTGGAACATCCCGGGGTAAAGGCTCCAGGTACAGCGAAGAGGACTCCCTTCTTCCCCTTGAAGAGCTGATCCATGGACACCTTATTTCCTGGCTCCCCCTCCTGGACCTCCACTGCGGGGAGCTGTTCGCCAACCTGTTGGGAATTAAAAAGACAATATACAAGAATGTACACCCACATCCTACATAGCAGATGATACTAATACTTTTTAGTCCGTACCAGAAGGCAAACTGCACTGCTGTTTTCACTGATAGGTAGGTCAGAAAGTGTCAGGTGCCACGCTGAAGACGACTGATGCATATTCTAGCGGCCGAAATGTTAAAACTTTTTTTTTTTTTTTTGCATAGGCAAGTTTTTCCCAACTGGTGGATCACAGTCCAAAAGTGGGTCGCTGGGCCATTCTGAGTGGACAGCAAGTGACTTGAGAACGTGTCAAGTTTGTACTCTTTATTCTGAAGTACAGTGAATTTCTGGCATGTAGCCTTTATTTCAAAGCGCCATCTCCTGCTGAAGAGTGAATAACTAAGAAACAGCTACTTGATAAATAAGTGGAGCCACTGGAGAGGGGCTTAAGAGCTACATGTGGCTCCAGTGCTGCAAGCTGCCTACCCCTGGCCTATACTAAAGATACTTACACACCTACATCACACAGTGAGCCACCTAGTTAATTGTCTGCTCAAAACCACATTTTGTTCATTAAATATCAGCTCCACATTTCAAAATGCTAAGCAACTTTCACCACATACACCAATTATATTGATCAAAACATGGCAAAACCGACTCAATATCAAATCATTAAGTCAAACACTAGCATGTGTTTTCTACCCAAGAGGAACATCATAGCACAATGACTTTCAAAATACAGCTGAAGGCATTACACAACAGCATTACTTTTCCGGTTTCAGTTCGAACTGTATACAATAGACAGTATCTCCATTATTTTTTTGTCAGTTTCCTTTTCCTGTAAACCACTCTACATGTTTGGTTGAGTGTTAGATGTGTGCATTTTTGGCCTGGTGAGTTATGTTTACCTTAAAGAATGTAGCCTACAATAGAAAGGAGATTTGCTGCAGCAAAAGCTTTACTCGCAACATGAAACTGCAGCCACTGATCAACAAAAAAGTCCAACATATGTGGCCTCTGGTTCAAAATGTGTAAAAAATAAGATACATACAGGCACATAAGGGACAAAACACAAAAATGCAATTCATGACAGTCCTGTTGTAATCTACACAATCTCCTCTGTGTTGTTCTGAATCCACATTGAGCAAAATCAATCCAAACAGCCCCCTTTGTTTCAATGGAATTTAAAGCACTTGGTCTATTATACACAAGTTATCAGCCATTTCTCAATGTTAATTCCAAAATGCTTATCAGTTATTTCAGTCTAGCTTTTGAGCTCCTGTTGTGGCAGAAGTAGCCTGGAAGATTTCACATCCTGTGCAAAACTGTGCAGCTCTCTCACTCTTGTGAAGGCAAGACACCTCAGGTGAAAACATAGTTTTTTTTTCATGCACTAGTCAATTTGCTTCTGTCAAATGTCTTTTTTTTTCAAACTAGTGGAAACAAAATGTCTAAAACACACCTTTAGGTGTTTATGTTAGTTCAGATAATTTCCAGATTTCTGTTCTAGAAATGTATGCAAAAAGTGCATATTTAATAAGACAATGCCTCAGTTGCATATTTAAACACAAAATCTCAGTGAACCTGTATTATTAAAAACGATTACCTTACTGTGAGTAATCAACTGGGGAAGTTTCATTGTGATATCTATTATCTAACAATATTTATCCTATTCACCCGTGGTTTCTCCCTTTAAAATGGATATTGTATTACTGTGTTTGGATGTATTTATTGTTGTTTTTACTGTATTTATACTGCAGACACTGTGATGTCATAGGCAAATTTATCTCTGGGACAATAAAGTCTCTCCTCTCCTCTCCGTCCTATCCTGTCCCCTCCCCTCCTCTCCCTCCAATCCCACCCTATCCCATCCCATCCTCTCCTCTCCCCTTCCCTCTCACTCCATACCCTATCCCATCTCCTTCCCTCCTCTCCCATCCCATCCTGTTATCTCCTTTCGTCTCCTCTCCTCTTCTCTCATCTCCTCTCCCATCCTATCCCACCCCATCCCATCTTCTCCTCTCTCATCCCATCCCCTCCCCTCCTCTCATCTCCTATCCCATCCCATCCTATTCTCTCCTCTCCGCTCAAATTCCTTTTAAGTAAGTAAAAACCTCTCTGACAATAAACTCTCATTACTCTGACTCTTGGGCTGGTTGGTGGCCACTGTAGGGCGACAAATCACCACACAGAGATAGATGCATGTGCTTCATTAAAATGGCCGAAAGCCTTCACTGAAATTAAGACGGACTAATAAGTGACTCACTTTTCACACTGGGTGCTTAAAAACATCGCGAACAAGCGCTAATAAATATACATTACACTTAAACCATGCTGAGCCCTCTGGATATGTTGATAAAATAATATTTATGGGCAGTGTAAGGCTGGTGTGAAGTTCAGGCACGCTTTCAAAATTAAGTTAACTTGATACTTACACATACATTTACTGAAGTTGTATTAAACAAGGAAACCAAGACAGGGGGCGTGTAATGTCAACTAGCATAAACATGCCTTTAAAATAAGACTATACTATCACTTACCGGGTGGCTGTTTATAAATGGCATGGGAGTGTAATGTTAATGATTGACATTTACATTATGCGGCGTTCAAATCACCAGCAGGTGATGAGGACGCTGCTGAGAAAAAGTACTGTTGATAAACAAACAAACAAACGACGTGTTTTGTGTCGCTAATGACTGTCATGGCGACCGGTTTCTGAGGGACCGTTAGCCCGGTGAGCTCCACAGAGAAAGGAGAAGCTTGTAGTGGTTTAGTTGAGTTAATTTTCGGTGAAATACGTCGACACACTCGCGTCTGTCTGTAAGCAATGTAGCATACCTAGCTAACGGTAGCTAAACTTACCTGAATGGGCATTTTGGCTGTGGCAGAAGTGTGTAGCAGCCTGACGCGCTGGAGGACACGGGTGCGTTTAATGACAGTGGCTGTGATGGAAAGCATTGTGGCTATATAACTTAGCTAGCGGTGGGTAGGATCCTGCTGTAGGTTTGCAGGACGTGCTGACTTAAAGGCGTGCTGCGTTTGCGTTCTCTCTCTCTCTCACACACACCCACACACACCTCAAGCCGGTTGCCAGTGTAACTTTACCGCACTGTTACCTACACTAGTGTCCCACTTTCAGTTTGACTGCTGGGACTTAACCACGCGTCCAGATTTGGGCCTGCTAAATCTGTATTTACTGCGCCATCTGCTAGCTAACAGCCTTATGTCTGATGTAGTATTTGTTCATGAGGATAGATTCATGAAAGCACAACCTAATTTCTACATTTTTCACAAGGAGCTGTGTCATTATTTCTTATCACTGAAAATACTGGAGAATTACAGTGCCCTGAAACTTAAAGGGGAACACAGCCAAATTAAAAATATATAATATGTTATTCCCATGGTAGGGCAGTGGTTCTCAACTGGTCTATCCTCAGGACCCACATTTTTCCTCAGTCATTATTTTATCCAAATTTTTGACTCTCAAATCTATTTCACAGACAAGTCTTTGAAATTTTATGACTTTTTTTTTATGAAATACAATAGTCTTTTGGCGCATAATCGTGTCTATTAATCATCTTTGCATTGACTATTGTATGTAATATACAGACTAACATTTTGAGAATTTTGGGAAAATATTTCTCAAAAAAAAGTTGTGAAATTACATGAATAAAGTTGCAATATTTTGCAAAAAAAAAGTTGTAAAATTTTAAGAAAAAAGTTACAAATTTTTAGAAAAAAGTCGTAAAATTTTGAGAAAAAAGTAAGATTTCAAGGAAACATAAAATTTGGCAAAAAAGTCAAAATATTGAGAAAAATAAATTTTGAGACAAAAATTGTAAAATTTTAAGAAAAGGTCATAAAAATTTTAGAAAAAAGTTGTAAGATTTTGAGAAAAAGGTCATAAAATTTTGAGGGGAAAGAAGTTACAATATTTCACAAAAGATTTGTGAATCCACGTCCTACTTTTGGGTCCCGACCCACCAGTTGAGAACCACTGGTTTAGGGAGTTCAATAAGTATATATGAACAGAGTAACTGTGTTCCAGTACCTGTACTACCATACTGAATAGTATGCCAGAAGAAGATTTAGGTTAACTGCTATCTTAATCTCTTACTTTTTACTTTTAGTATGTACTGCAGCTGCCCTTAAAAAGTACGTACTGTTGCATGCAGTGTTCACACAATCGGAACATACATCTTCGTAAAATTACACCCCGAACTTTGACCCTTACTCTTATATCCATTACCTAGAGATAAAACAAAATGCTGTTTCACCAAGCTTGTTACAGATGGAGGTCAACCTGGAGAGCTCTGATGTTGTTATTTTGCATTGGATTTGTCAGACATATTACTGCAGCATAATTGACCCTGATACATTTAGACCCTCTCCTTTGGCTACCTGTGGCTTTGACACAAAATTATATTGAAAGGAATATTATAAAAATTATTTTTAACATTGAGATTTTCATTTGTCGGTGTACGCCTAAAGTAATTATTGCATTCTAGATTCTGGAAAAATGCGTAGCCTATACATCGAATTAAAAAATGTTGTAATGTAAACTAAACTAAAATGTAAATCATACGCCTATGACCTGGTGCCTTTTCCTCTAAATTTTACTTAACTTCAGTAGCGGTGGTGTGGGGTCTCTCTAGCAAGGCTAGCTATGGATTCTGAATCCAAAAAAGGAAAAGTCTTTGAGGAAAATAGAGGATTAAATAATGTGTGGACAGATTCATTTGTTTTCACCACCAATGCTGCAAAGTTAAAGTACTAAAGAATTATAAATAGTCCACTGCAGAGTAGATACCTTGTAGTAAATCATATTAATAAATGCTCATTTGGACCTATCGGTAATGTTGATTGGCTTATTTAGACTTAATAGGCTGTTACCTTTATTCAAACATGTTTTGCAGTTACAGATTTTTTTTTCTTTTTTTTTGGCCAATAATGGCTCTTTTAAATAGAAAAGGTTGCCGACCCTTGACTTAAGCAATCAATATTCCTATTATTACTATTCGACTGATCAGTTAATTGAATGTGCTGTCTTCCGTTATTACGACTTCTGACAGCTGTCAATCAGCTGTCAAGCTGTCATCTGTTGTGGCTCAGCTGATGTGACGTGTCATCGGCTGCACAGACGATTGTGGGTCAGAATAGCCAGAAAAGCATGCTGGCTTACAAACTGCAAAATTGGACAGGATGTGGTAGAACATCCTGGTATTTTTGGCATATTGCATTAGGACCTACTAAATCTTTTTCTGGCATACTATATGGTATGGTAGTATGGGTATTGGAGCACACAGATAGTATGCCAGATGCAGTATGCCTATTTTTCTATCTATCTGGACCTATATGAAGGGATTATGCATAAATACTTCAGTGATCTGAGGACATGATTTCATCCGTCCCAGTCTAAATTGTATATTTACAACTCAGACACCTATTGCTCCATGCCTTTGGATATCTCAACACCTCCCCCTACTGTAAGCTTCCTTACATGAGGAGGCAGACCTCAATGTCTCATTCACAGAGAGTGAATAGAGTGGGATACTATTAAACTTAAAAAAACAAAAAGAAGTTGTCCTAGGAACTTTAAACCTGGCTCATCCAATTTCAGATTTTGACAAAGAGAAGTTGCCACAGTGATGCCAGCTTAAAGGTGTACTAGAGAGGAGAATATCTTAATAAGGCTAAGAGTAGGACGTGCCACACTTCAAACACTGCCCTTCATAAGCAAACATCCTTCAGGATTATGTGAGCACTGTCAAGTTGATTAACCAGTGGAACATGTAATGTTGCACTGGCAAAGGTATTCTTAAGTATGAGAAACATTTAAGAGGGAAGTCAGGAAGGTTGGAGTGGAAGAACTCAAGTTTAAAATATGTATCTGACATAGGCTCAGGAAGACTGTTACAATGTCTGAAAGAACCTGAGCTGATCAAGAGAATTTAGTACTCTGATTTTTTTTCTGGTTTGTTTTATTTTGTTTTGTGTTGGGGGTATTTAGTGGGTGGCAATACTGTACCTTAATGCTGATTGCCAACCAACATAAAGCCAAGAAGATGATGATTCTGAATAGTTTATGGGACCCCATGCAAGCTATACAGAGTCAAGCTAACACAAACCCCAAGAATGCTGGATGTACCACAACGGGGAGGGTACTTTGACTTATGTTGTTGAGGTGCCTCAAAATACGAGGTCTGAGATATCCTTGGGGACCCTCTGCTCCTTGAGGACTTCCCATCCCCTGATGCACAATGGGTGTAGACAGCACTAATGCTGCTGACAATGCTGGGGAGTAAGCTCATTATGTCACAATAAAAGGCCCCCTCTGCCCTCCTGTAAATCTTTGGCATTATTATTTAGGCAGAATAGCCACACTGCAAGGCCTGTCATAATGACTCATGAACAGAGTGGAATGTTTCCACTTGAAATGGAAGTTGCCTCTCAAACAGAGGAGGGTGTAGGACTGGGAGGGGCGCAAGAGTTCAAAGTTCTTGTTACATTTCAAATGTTCTTTCATACTGCTATTTGTGTGGCAGGGGTTTGGCCTGTACTACATCTCTGTCATCATCACTGTATTTGACATCTCAACTACACACCTATAAAGTTTCATGACTACATCTTGAACAGTTGCGACATTACTGTGTTGACGAAAATCTGTATTAAGACAGTGATCTAAAGATCTGGCAAAGTACAACCCCAATTCCAAATAAAGTTGGGACATTGTGTAAAACATAAATATAAACAGAATACAATGATTTCCCAATCTTTTTTGACCAATATTCAATAAAAAACATTTTCTCTGCCGGAAAATGGTGGATTGCCCTCTCTGTATTGGGAGAGAGTTACTGCCCCAAGCAAGGGAGTCCAAGTATCTCGGGGTCTTGTTCAGGAGTGAGGGTAGAATGGAGCGTGAGATGGATCGGTGGTTTGGCGCTGTGTCTGCAGTGATGCAGCCAGCTGTGCTGGACCCTCGTGGTGAAGAAGGAGCTGAATCGGAAGGCAAAGCTTTTGATTTCTTGGTCCACCTATGTCTCAACCCTCACCTATGGTCATGGGCTCTGGGTAATAATGGAAAGAATGAGATAGCGGATACAAGCGACTGAAATGAGTTTCCTCCGTGGGGTGGCTGGGCTCAGGCTTAGAGATAGGGTAAGGAGCTCGGACATCCGGAGGCAGTTCGGAGTAGAGCTGCTGCTCCTTCACGTCAAAAGGCGTCAGTTGAGGCGGTTCGGGCATCTCATCAGCATGCCTCCTGATCTCCTGTTTTAGGCACGTCCCACTGTTAGAGGCCCCGGGGCAGACCCAGAGCACACTGGAGGGGTTACATATCCCATCTGGCCTGTGAACGCCGTGAGGTCCCCCAGGAGGAACTGGAAAGTGTTGCTAGGGAGAAGGATGTCTGAAATACTTTGCTTAGCCTGCTGCCCCCGGGACCTGGCTTATCCTATGGTGTGTTCTGGGTCTGCCCCGTGGCCTCCTACCAGTTGGCCATGCCAGAATACCTCTAACAAGAGAGGCACCCTGATCAGATGTCCAAACTGCCTCAACTGACCCCTTTCAACGCAAAGGAGCAGCAGCTCAACTTTAAGTTCCCTCCGGATGTCCAAGCTCCTTACCCTATTTTTAAGGCTGAGCCCAGCCACCCTTTAGAGGAAAGTCATTTTGGCCACTTGTATCCGGGATCTCAATCTTTCGCTCATTACCCATACCTCATGACCAAAGGTGAGGGCTGGGACATAAATGGACCAGTAAATCCAAAGCTTACAGAGTGTTGTTAAGTTTAAGTTTATTTACTTTATTAATCCCCCTGAGGAGAAATTCAATTTTCAATTCAATTTTCTAAAAGAAAAAGTAATGTAACACTGGTAAACATGCCCCTGCCTCTGCTTTTTTGGAACATGTTACAGGCATTAAAATCCGCATGAGTGTATATTTACAGTCAGTTTGAACATTAAATATTTTGTCCTTACGCTGTAATCGCTTGAATATATGTCAAATGCATTGTTTTTATTCAAATTTCACACAGCGTCCTGAATTTCTTGGGAGCTGGGTTGTACTCAAAATGGCTTCTGTGGTAGTTGCCGCTACAGGAGGTATCTCCAGGACCACATTTTGGCATGATGACACACACAAACATGGACTCACAAGGTGAAAGCAATGCTAGCGGTTGCTATATTGTCACGGTTGGTAATTAAATACGAAGCAAGGAAACCTACATGGACGTGGAGGATGTGAAAGAACAATATTACAATTAGTGAGGTTGCAAATCCCTGTAGTCTAATTCAAAGCCTATGTAGCTCAAGCACTCTTTGGCAGTCCTACAAAGGCTTGGCAAGATATTGTCGCCACAAAGGTCGAAACCTCCAATGCTGTTTCACAAACTGACACCTGACGCCAGATGTGCAAAATTAATTCACAAATGCCTGGAGGCAAATCGTTTAGCTACTACTATCCTTGTATTGTTTTATTTTAGAATGAGTATTTGTTTCTCATGCTCAGGAACTGCATGTGAAGTCTGTCCAGCATTTAGGTTATGCCCAACCTTTGATGGACTGTGATATGTGCACAAAGATCATTTAATCATGAAGTTAACAGTTTAAACAGTAGTCTTCACCACACTGCCCCCATCTAACACACACACAAACACACATAACTACACACAGGGAGAGATGAGACCGATGATATGTGGTGGTGGTGTGTCCATTTATTACACAACACAAAGCACCTACAATAATCCACTCCCCGTTGCGTCAGACAGTGGAAGATCTCACTTTTTTCACAGTGATTTTTTTTTTTAATGTGAACATGTTTAGACAAGGACATCAAACTGTTTTATCTAAATGAAAAAAAAAAAAAATCTACACACAGAAAGTCACAGCCAATATCACACACAAAAATAAAGCAGTGTCAACAAACAACAGTAAATTGAGTAAAAAATAGAATTTAATCATTTAAATAGTCATTCAAAATACAAACATTGATTGGAACTTCTAAATAATATAACGTTTAGTAACTATTCTTCATTATAACTGGCAATGTTAAATGTACACTGTGGCTATACAAGGAAATGTGTGAGGTTTGGTAATTTATTGTATTGCTCATTTATATTAATGCGCACATATTTAATAAAACTACAAATGACTGTATAATTTCAACAGTGACATTGCAAATGACCCTGCCTTCACCCTAACCCACCGTACCTAGAACATATTGGTATGCTAATTAAAAAAAAAAAAAACTACTATTGTTGAATGACTGTGTTAATAAGAAGAAACTTTAGCAGCTCTAATTCAACCCAGGAATCTATAGAAACACGTAATTTGTAACTTATGAACACAAAACCAAACAGGGGAGTGTCAGATTTCACAGGGTATCAGTCCCTAATCCGCAGCACCCCCTGCTGCTATCATAACACCCGTGTGTTACAAGTTAAACTGCCGTAAATGACCTCCAGTGTTTTCGAGCTGCACCATTATTCCTGTAAAGCCACACCAACTGTAGGTTTGCCACCCAGTGTGAGACAGTGTACCACGGGTCATCTTATAAAGCATGAGAAATGAGCCATATACACCTTAAAGTTACGAGAACAAAACAAAAAAGTGATCTCAGGTGTTTTCGCAACTGTAAAAGACATCCAATAAACCCAATGTTCAAATTTAAGTCGACATATCAAAAGATCAAGACTTACATTTTGTCTCCACAGTTATTTGGCTGTCTGGCTTACTCTGCCTCCTGAGGTAGCCCTCTGTAGCCTCGCCGTGCCGCTAAATCTATAGAGCCATGTAAATTGATCCCTAAAATGACAATCAGTTTCAGACAACTGCTTACATTTAAAAAAAAAAAAAAAAACCTCACAATATCCTGAATGGAAAGCTTCATTTCAATACCAAACCCACAACAGTGTCACAATGTAAATAAAATACCCTTAAATCCTAGAAAGTAAAATGTATGAAAAAGCAAGTTTCAAGTCTTTACAAATTTCAGAACACTGTAAGCTGCACAAATATAATCATAATGGGGGATTTGTATCACATTTGCTGGCTTTATTATTATTATTCCACTATAAATTGCATGTTTCTGTTTATTCAAATGGAACTGTACATGGCTGAAAGATCAATGGCCCTTTGGCCACTAAATATCTGATGGTTGACATCAGATACTGTAGCTCTGCATTGCATGGGAAGCGTACTATAATGATCCTTTCTAGTTTAAAGATATACTATGCAGGATTTTCCTAAAAAATATGGTCTCAGAGAAGTATTCCACTCAATCATCACTTATGACTCACTAGAAGTGTGTGGCGGGGAATTGTTTTCTGCCTGCATTTTCTTACTTTCTTCGTATTTTCTACGTTCGGGACCTTTATGGGCGCGTACTCCCTTTTTGTAAAGGTAGCGACCAGGTGCCAGATCGTTAGCAGCAGGCATCCAAGAGAAACAGTGCAGACAGCGTGGCAAAACGCTCAACAAGACTGAATCTGGAGTTGGCATTTACTTACTCAAAAACTGGAACCACAATTCTGCATAGTATACCTTTAAAGTACACAAACCTGCTGGACAATGAGTAGGGCTTTCAGGATGTCGTCAGACAAGGTTTCAACATCCAAGAGGAAGATGTTGCATATGTTGCATTGTCCTGAGCCCATTCCGGGCACCTACAGGTTCGACAGATGTCCGTACACGAATGAGGAAATCTCTCATCGAAACAATCGAGATCTTTTACGCAATGCTCTTTACGACTGCAGAAAATGCAGCCAAATCTCATCATACACTTATCAATCATATGGATTAGTGTCATAGCCCACAAATCAAATAGGTCCGACCATTGTTTTTGAACAGCGCAGCTGCTGAAGTCAAAAAGAGTGGCTAGATCTAGCAGAGAATCGTATATTAAAAAAAAAAAAGCAGATGAGGCATATGCATTTCTTATCTAAGCACTGTTGTTGCCACGCTTTAATGTCAAAGAGTTGTGTTCTTCCCTGATCTCAGTGTAGCTCATTAGTTTGGACTACACACGGACGCACACGCTTGCTTGTATGGAAGCCATTTTTTTTGTGTGTACATACAACACTGATTATATCCCCTTCCACGTAACACATTCCATGAGCACACAGTCTTCATATGCACTTCTCCTGGACTACAGATCAATTGCACAACCTTTTATAAAGAATTCTGCACCTACTATGTACATCAGTGGTTCCCAACTCCGGTAGTTAACCCCAGAAATGTCATTTTTAAATCTACTCGCAGCATACCCGACACAAACCAGCCTCTACCAGGTCTCAGAGATCAGCACTTGGGGTTCTGAGAGTGGAGAACGACTAATATACACACACACACACAACTAGATGTCTCACCTTTTTATCCACATTTTAAATGTGACAGAATAATCGAGTCAGTATATTGCTTTTAACATATTGCAAGTAATTCCTATGAATTTGCCTACAACGGCACACTAAACTATAGTAAATACAAGCACTCCATGTGCATGTCAACCTGACCCTATACTGGACCCTCGAGTCTCTCGCCGGATATGTTAGTATGGCTTTCATGAATAGATGTTGCTTTGTTTTTAAAAAGTTCAAAAGCCACGTTTGCAGTCTGTTCTCGGGTGCCGAAATGTTCTTCAGCGGTTATGCAACTGCAGATCAACGCTGTGATGAAACACACCATGAAATTAGTTGAAACTGAGAAGTAGTCTGGCGTTCATGTTAAATGTTGTCACTCTTTGATCTCGGAGCTTTTTACTGAAGCGTGGCAGTTACATCTTACTTAGGTTTTTATTTTCTCGTGTTCCTTTCATGTAGCCTATGGAAAAAGAGGGGAAAGGACCATTTTCCTCATTAATAATTCTCTAATAAAATCTTTCACTTCTCACAAATCCACTCATCCACTCTTGAAGACTAGATCTCTGTTGGGTCTTTTCTCTGCGTCCTCCTGCTGCTTGCCGCTCTAGGGAGAGTCCATCATGGCTTCCAGCATCTCCAGGAATAGTTTGTGCATCGGTACACCGCCCCGGGTCTTGATGCTGTAGAAGGTGGTGAGAGCACGACCAGCAGTCTGTCGGAGGAGGGGCAATGTTAAAAGGAGGCGTCCCGCCCGCTGGGGATCGTCTGGGCGCCGCTGACATTCCAGCTCCAGCAGGGCCTGGTGGAGGAGGTCTCGCAGCTTCTGCACAGCCTCCATGTCCTCGATGTAAACAGAGTCTGACAGAACAACAGGGGGCATACTGGTCAGGCACTGTGTAGGGAGTTTACATTTTCTCAGCTTCAGACAAAAAGCTTGTGCTGCCCAGTAACTTACCTCAAATACAAGCTAAGGGCGACCTTTATTTACAACACAAACAGTGGATCTGTAGCGCAAGCAGGACATGTTACATGATCTGCTGTTGACTGTAATCTTGAGTGAAAGGCAAGACTACATAAAGGTTATGACTGGTAACCTTGTTACGACAATTAGACGTCATATGTTTCTGCAGTGGCACATCTGCCTGCCAAAGAGTACAAGTATAAAATACATACATTTATTTAGCTATAGTCGTTGCAAAAGTATTGAAACCTCCCAAAAACAAGAAAGGCATGCGTTGCACCTAACACTGGCGATACAAAATATTTTACCTGTTGTCACTGCCTTTTGGCTGCTGACACACACAGAATCTAACTGAGATTCCACTTATAATTAGAATAATAGACTGATATGAATAAAAACGCCTCACATTAACTGACTCAATCAGAAGAGACTGGCCTGATCGGGAGGAATTTTTAATCAAACTTGATCAAACTTTAGGTGACGTAGATGCATAACATGCACAAAGAGCTGTTTCTATGCACCTCCCTCTGCTGATTTTGACACAACCATTCATAAATTCAAAAAACATTTAGCGCTCTGCTTTGTTCTTATGTGAGGGCTCTTTGATTTTGAAACAGTAGCCTTATGTAAGGTCGTTGTTACAGGCTGCAATGTGGAGAAGCTGGATATAATGATCATTCATCGCCACCAGTAGCAGTAGCTTATGCATATGAAACGTTTAGGGAAAACTGGTAAATTGTTTACCAATAGTCTGCATGCGAGGTGTTTAGGGGACACCGCTAATTTGTAGCTACGGAAAATAACCTGGTTCACACTTACGTTACTTTTCTTCTTTAAATGATTTTTTTTTCTCAATAAAGTTAGAAAAAAAACTTCCTTTGTTATATTTCCTTTAGGTTTGACACTCCACAGTGGGCGGGACCACTTTGCAGGAGTCAAAAAAAGTTGCATTCTGATTTGGGAAATGTAAACGGACATTTCAATCTGATTGAAATATTGTCCTTTTAACCACAGCTATTGTCTGCACCCCTTGAACTAATCTGTTAGTTTCCTTTTTGCTATCAATGCCACATATCATCCCATAATTGCAGACTACAAATTCAATAATTTGAATTTCACTGATCAAAAGGTGGGTTTAAAGCTCACAATAATTCTCAATTTGTGCTCTATGAGTACGACAGGAAAGCATGCATGTGCAGTAGTTGCAAGATTATTCTGTACACCTTGCTAAAACTAATGCTATCTTACTAGTGTTGTTAAAACTGTTTTAGAGAGGTGTTAAGACGTTGTTCAGACATTCACTCATATTCCAGAGACACTCTAAGGACCTTCATCTTCCATATTGTCAGACTTTTCTTGATCGTTATCGTTGAAATAAAGAGGAGCATCTTTTTGAACAACCTTCTTCCTTCTCTACAATCATCAACTGAATTATCGTTATTCAAAAAACAACTTCTTAGTCTAGAACTCATTGTTTAATTTTATTCAATCATGCAATCTTCGTCTTTATCTTTTTCTTTTATGTATGATTGTTGTTATTTAATAGGGGAGGTATCTTCATGAGCCATTTTTGGCTTCAATGTTCTCACTTTTAATTTCTTTTTCCTGTATTTTCTGTACATGTACGTGCAAATAATGTAAACTAAACTGAACAAATTCAGCTGTTTGGTCATTTTAGTGGCTGAGGTAGATGGTGCTGCTGAACTGCGCCGTGTCATGATGAGATTTTATCAATGATACTGCATATTAGAAACACCTCTCAGTGTAACACATGCCTGCAAAAATGATCATCAAGTTTCACCTCTCTGAAACAGTTTTAACAAGATTATAACCTTCATTACAGGACTACTGTGCTAGACTGTATTAGTTTTAGCTATTAAATGCCTAAAAATATTCCTAATAAAGCAGTTTTTCATATGAATAACTCAGTTATGTGCAAGGTCCCAAGGAATTTCCTAGCAGGGGTGGTGAGCACTGCCCCTTTATAAGCCTAATATTATATTTCATAAAAATGTAATAATCTCCTCTGACCTCAGCAGGCAAGGTGGCTCGACTACAAAAGGCTGCAGAAAACTAATACTACCATAAGAGAGCACTTTTCAGTTTGATAGAAGTTTCGGTTTAGTCTAATTACTGCTACTGATCACACATCATTAAGTATGGCACTGTTAATAGTTCTATTCCAATAGTTTGATACCAGCTTTATGAGATTAATTTGCCCACAAAATCTATCTGTCTTCATTAACTTTACAACGACACAAGTATTAAGTACCTGAGTTAGTGAGTGCGATGGCTTTTAGCATGACAAATTCCTCCCGGTCCATGTTTAGCGCCCGGAAGCGGCGAGCAAGTTGACTAATTGCTGCATTTAGCTCTGTCAGTCCAGCGACACGTGACATCTCCTCATCAAGGACAAAATCCTCTGCGAACACCACCTCGTCCTCGCAGCCGAGCGAGCGGTACGCTACGCCGAGCACCAGCACATCCAGCCACACCGACTGCAGCACAGACATCTGGTCTGCTAGGGACAGCGACAGGAAGCCTGCAGAGAGACAGACAGAGAGGGGCATTTAAATGCAGAGGAGGCAAACAGGAAATAGGTTCACAGTTTTGCTGTCAGCAGACACAGTGTGCACTGCTCTCATGTCTTTATAATAGCTAAACAAATAGGCTGCATACTGTAGGCAGCTGGTGGCCTGACTCTAGCTTGTGAGGCAGTTAATGCTGCATCAGTTCAGAAATTTGGTTTTACCTATTAACTTTGTTGTACCTATCAATTTCAGCCATTAGCATCAGGCTCACACAGGCCATTTGTAATGCTAAGTATCCTTCTGGGTGTACTCTTGTTCTGTAAAATAAACCCAAAAGTCATGGTTTGAGTGAAACATGACGCAGCACAACGCAGGTTAGTCCATCAGATTGGATAACTACATCTGTTCCACTGTCGCACCCGTGCTATCACTGCCTCTCCTCCCCTGATTTATCCTCTCCACATCTCTTACCAGGAATGTGTTTGGCCCAGCCAATGATAACGACCAGCTCCCGGTCGGCAAGGTCACACAGGGTGGTGAGCGTGCGCTGGGCTGTGTCAGGCTGCAGAGGGTCGGGCATGGCGAATAACTTCTCTGGCTCGGCCACTAGAAGGTGGGACACAATGATGTTGGAGGAACCTAAGTCACAAAGGAGACACGACAGAACAGATTATTATGATGCACAGATAAAGACCAACAGATACATTTTGCTGTACAAAACATGCTGCTCTGTACTGGTGTTACCTGTACCACATTCCACACTATATTCATGCTGCAAGTTTCCATATTCCTATTTTAAATGTAGGCTTTAGACCTGCCACTGACTTTCTATTAACAGATTCTAATTAAGAGTACAACTGAGAGTTTTTGCTTTAAACTAGCTCAGATCCTCAGCCAGATTTATGACAATCAAGAGCTCCAAGGAAAGATTTAGGACTTGCACTGAGCCATTTATTTGACAGCAGAGGGCACTGTGTTCTAAACAATTCCAATGGGTTTGAAGTGTTTCATGTGTTGTTTGTGTGCCTTGGGCAGCTTGTCTTTCACCGACCCCAGCACGGCGCCCATTTTTGAGACAAGCAGTCCGAGCTCCTTGATTTAAAAGAGAAGGAAAAGGTTAAACTCTGAGCAGATGAACTCTCTGCGTCTGAATCAGAAAGGTGCAGGAGGGGCCTCCCAGCTGGACTGCTGCTGCCGACGACGACCCCAAGCTTAGTTGTTTGTTGTCGATTACTGTGTTTTTAATTGCCTGGACATTGCTGCTGTTGGGAGTTACATGTAGCTTGCCAGCACACAATCAATTGACAGTTCATAATGTGTTGCCTGGCAACAACACGATGCCTTTTGCTGCTGCTGCTGGTGCCAAAAAGACAAACTTATTCTCAGATGTTAATGACCAATAGCAAACATAGTAGAGCCCTGCTTCCACACAAAAGACTGACAGGAAAAATGTGTTATTTTACTGTGTTGTATTAATGAAGAGATGCAGGAGCAAAATTACATTGTATTTATATATTTTACTTATAATCTCAGAACATGCGTTGTTTGTTTTTCTATAGTTGTTTAGTTTTGTAACTCTGTCTTTTAATGCACTGATCAGGTGTAACACTCCTAATTTTGTTGTTTTCTGTACACTGACAATAAAAGGCTTTCTATTTCGTTCTCCATCCATCCCTCTCTTTTTCAGCTGCCAAGACACTTATTCACGCCTTCATCACTTCCAGACTTCACTACTGCAATACTCTCCTCTGCGGTTCATCATCCAAAACACTCAACAAACTACAATATATCCAGAATTCAGCTGCTTGCCTTCTCACACACTCCCGCACCCGTGACAACATTATCACCGCCCTTCATAACCTACACTGGCTCCCCATCCCTCAGTGTATCCACTTCAAACTCCTCATCATCACCTATAAAGCTCTCCACAACCTTGCTGCTCCCGACCTCTGGAACTCACTCCCTAGAGAGATCAGAGACTGCCCCTCACTCTCCAGCTTCAAGAAATCTCTCAAAACACTCCCTTTTGGACTGAAATCGCTGGCATTTTTGAATTTGTTTTTTCTAACCAAAATAACCTTGAATTTTGAATTCATGTACCTGATTAGACTGGAAGAACTCCAATGGAGGAAAAAGGATTAATATCTGCTAAGAATACACCGAAACCTTTGGTTCTGGCATTCATGTGGATACCACCTGTCATGTTCCACACACTCAAACACTGTTGCAGACCAAGTACCCCCCCCTCATGGCAACAGTACTCCCAAATGGCAGTGGCCTCCCAGCAGGATAATGCACCATGCCACACTGCAAACATTGCTCAGGAATGACCCAAGGAATGTGACAGAGACCTCAAAGTGTCAACCTGGTGTCCAAATTCCCAAGATCCCAATCTGAATGAGCATCTGTGGCACGTGCCGTGACTCCACCTCACAACCCACTGGACTAAATGGATCTGCCGCCAACGCACTGGTGCCAGACACCGCAGGACACCCAGACATCCTGTGTCCATGCCTCGATAGGTCAGAGCCAAGCCCGATTCAAGGAGGCCCCACCTTGGATTAGGGGTACATCTGGGGTACCGGCACATCACATGAATCCTTAAGCAGACTGTGACCTGGGGAATTTAGAAGCCAGGTCGAAACCTTGAGCTTTTTGTCATGCTCCACAGGCCATTTGTAAACTGTTCTGCTGCCATTGGGGAGTACTGTGGGTACTTGGTCTGCAACAGTGTTTGAGTGGGTGGAGCATGTCAGGTGGTATCCACATGAATGCCAGAACCAAAGGCTTCCCAGCAGAACAATGCATTGGAACAAAATAATCAAAGTTATTCATTTCACCTGTCAGTGGTTTTAATGGTTTGGCTGATCGGTGTATTATTGGTGGCATTTAAGAAATCCCTGACCAAAAAATGGCTGAAAAAAGAAATACCTAGTATTGACGAAAGGATTGACTTGGTATATTTTTTCAGCTTTTTCAGCTTGTTACAGTAAAGTGTGTTGGTCCTTTAGCTCTGGCTGATAGTTATCATTTGATTGTTAAACAAAAAGCCATGTTACTGAGCATTTTCATCTCATTTGCACAAACTGATTATCGTGGAAGTAGTACTACACTTGCCTGTTGCCTGTTGTAGAACAAAAACTAATAACAAGACACAAATATAAATCCCACCTTTCTCCTCCTTTGTCAGTGATAGAGGGGCACTCTGGTATGTTGCATTCTCCACTTCTGGGCGTCTTTTGTACTTCTGCCTTCCACCTCTGACCCTGTCGAGGCGAACTCCTACATTGGGACAAACACAGAATAAACATATGCCACATTTAAAAGCTTGGTGCAAAGACCCTTCAGATGTAATATCAAAGAGTGGCTGCAGAGCTTCTGCACACCAGGAACACTCACCCTCTTTCAGCATGCCCACTTTGAGGCACTTGGTGAAGCGGCATGCCTGACAAGCCTTTCTGCGCCTCTTGGTGATCTCACACTCGTTAGATGCTGGACAGCTGTATTCAATGTTACCTTTATGTAAGAACAGAAAACGATTTTACATTTCAGACTAAGAAATACAAATATGAATGAAAACCACCATCTTTTATTTCTTAAATCTTTCTGATCTAAACATCCCACAAGCTGACCTGCCCGTCACATTTCCCAACACAAATACAGTGAAACAACTGCGGTGTGTTCATGGCTTTCGTTTAACAGACCAGTATGAGCTGGATGGAGTTGCTGAGACATGTTAAGGAGTAACACCATTAGTAGTTACTTAGTAGATTAGGGATGCCCAAAGCTGTTCCAAATTGGTACTGGTATTGTGATCCTTTGTTAATTGTTATGCCCTAAACTCTAGCTATATCATCCCTAATACAGGTGTAATAAAAATCCTGCTGCGCAATATATCATGTATTTGATTAAATCATCATCATGATGCTAAGTTGCACGATAAATACATCGTGGAAAAAATGTACTCAGGATAAGAACAATAACTTTATTCACACCTGCCATCGGGGTCTGAGATTAACACCTGCCAAGCTTGAAATGTGGTAAATTATCCGTTTGGCGGGTAACTCTCAAAACGCTGTCTGCCACAATGGTGGGTAAATGTCTGTACCAAAATAGTCATGTAATAAAAAGTTATGCTGAGTCTCTACCGTGTTTTGGTGTCGGTCATTACTTCCTGTTCTTTCAGTACAACATTTTAATAATACCATGCTAAAATCATAACAATATCCCATATATTTTATAAAGGCAGATTATCAGTTAACTCAATGATATTCTTGCACATTCACTCCCCAGTACATGTTGCTTTACTGCAGCATTTTTATTATTTAAATACTGGAGTTATACCCTATATGCATACGTTTTGGCCAGTAAATATTAACATGATTGGACTGATATACCTTTAATTCTTTATTCGGTGGATAGGCTATTTAATGTTTGGGGTCTATGCTAGCCATGTACATATTAAAGCAGAAAGACATAGGAACTGTGTAGCTAATACACACACTTTTTTTTAAAATTACTATCTGTACTACTGACATCTATTTCTTAATAGTTTTAACTAGTTTAACGTATTGCTCTTATGTTTGAAAGTTATATTAAAGCCTTTCACCCTTTAAAACCTGAGCAAAGTGGCTTGATTTCTTTTAAAAACATGGGAAGAAGGCAATGAGCAATGAAAGAAGAAATGTTCCAAAAAAATAGGGAGAAAATAAGTGAAAAGAGAAAATTAAATACAAGAAAATTAGTTAAAACTAAAAAAAAAAAACTAAATAAAAAAAATTTTAAAAAAAAGTTAAAAACAAACAAACAAGGAAATGACCTTCATAGAGTGCTTAAAAGTTATAATATTTTGTAATAATAATAATAGTATATAGTTTTTTTCCTAGGTTTTTTTTTTTCCTATTTTTTTTTTTTTTTAATAATTTTCTAAATCTGTTTTTTTCCTGCAATTTGTGGGACATGCTAATTGCCTTTTTTCCCGTGTTTTTGAAAGAAATTGCATCAATGTGCTCAGGGTTCAAAGATTTAAATACTTGCGAAAGGCGTCTAAAAGCAGCACAAGAAAAGTGATGCTCCAAGTTTCAAAGGGTAAATATTGCTAAAAGGGATAATTTTCTAAAATATTATTTGCTGAATTCATTTCTCATAAGGTGTAGGTTAACAGCGGTCAGCATCGTACAAAAGGCTCCACATTTAACATGAATTAAACGCTCCAAATGTAAAACCTGTCAGGGGAAAACAACAACTGTTCTCTACGTGTTGGCTATGCAAACACTTAACTCCCCCCACAACACGCACCTTGGATGGTTCTCTTGAAGAACGCTTTGCAGGCCTCACATGACGCCACGCCGTAGTGGTAACCCGAGGCCACATCCCCACATACTAAACACAGCCTCTTGGGTAGCGTGCTCAGGGCGTACTTGCACCGCCCTGCTCCATTTCCAGTGGAGCCCTCCTCTGCCACATCCCCGGATTCCTCTTTGAAGTGGCAACGCAGAGCCGGCGTATAGAGTGGCGGGGAATAACGTTTAACAACGTCTCCTCTGGTTCCTCCGCCTCCACTTTGAGAGGAGTCCGAGGAGGCACCGCCAGGACTGATCCGACCTCCCCCACCTCCCTCTGGACTGCTCGGTTCTGCCTTTATGTAGACATCTGACCGACGCTGACTGGAAGACATGATGTCTAGAGGGGTAAAAAACAAACATAGTCAATAAGAGTATAAAACCTTTTACCTCACATCTTTGGCTTTTAAGCTACTGTCATGCCACCTGGGAAAAAAAAGGACCAAAACCTGGATTAGAAGATCATGATCCGTTGTCGTTGCAGAAAGCATGGACAGTTAAAAGCACCTGGATTTTTCATTGTCAGCATGTAGAGCTCCAAAGCATAGTTGATTAATCTATTAGCTGATTGGCAGAAAATTAATTGCCAACTATTCTAATAATCGAATAATTGTTTTAGTAATTTTTAAGCAAAAAGCCAAACTATGCTGGTTTTATGCTTCTTAAATGTGAGAATTTGATGCTTTTTTGTCAGACATGACAATACACTGAATATCTTCTGATTTTCAGACTGTTGGTCGGATAAAACAAACCATTTAAAGACATCACCTTGGGCTCTGGGAAATTACACAGCATGTTTCACTATATCTGAAATTTTACTGACAAAACAATTCATCAAAAACATAATGGGCAGATTTATCAGTAGTGAAAATAATTATAGGTCGCAGGCCTATCAGCATGCTAACATGACAAAAGGCCTGCTTGTTCTCTCTCTTGTTGTTTAGCACTTAGTTCCCGTCTTGTCTGTGTCATTTTCAGTTAAGCTTTTAAGCCATCAAAAACACCTCAGATTCACTGCTAAAATAAAACCACACAGTCCTCAAATCATTCCCACTGTGTGAAGCCTTTGTCTGTGACATTACTAGACGTGAAAATAGCCAAGGTGACTGGATGAAGGTCGCCATGCTCATAAACAGTGGGCGCTCTTCCCTATGCAGACACATAACTTATGTTCCTGTATGGCAGTCAGAGTACTGCGGCAACCTGCTCGCCTGCCAAAGGCCGTCTATAGTTCTCAATTTAATCACAGAAACAGACATGGTAAATATGTCAAGCTTGCGATAAAATGAAATACGTTTAGAAATCCAAACCCAGGCACAAAGCAGGCACAAGTCCAAAATTACCGTTAATATATATATTGAAAATGCGTGGCACAATTTCAGAATTGCGAGGGACAGAGGACGTTTCTGATCAGCCACTTTCCCATCAAAGATGTTCATTATTTAATCTATTAGTAAATCACTGCAATTTCCTAATTTCAGTCTACCTTAAGAGTTACAACACCACCACCTCCATACTCCTAAAAAAACATCCTTTCCTCACAGTTTCTGGCCCACATGTTTACTTCGGGAGAGGTAAGAACATTATGACAATTAGAAAAAGAGATTTAATTTCTTCAGTTAATCTATCGTCATGACCCTCCACGGCCAAATGCATTATGGATGGTTAGACTGCCAAGAGTAACTTTGTTTCATGCTTTTAAGATGCGACTGAACTTCCTGTACTTAGTTTTAACCACTGACAGTAAATAAAGATTGACGTCATGACAGCTCCCAAACGTGAAGCCAGAATGTCTCAATCATCCCCTGGTGACTGGCCGCGGTATAGTTCGACTCCCCAGCCCCTCCATGTTAGTGGATGGGACATTAGCCGAGCCAAACCAAAAACTCAAAGTACACCTCAAATATATTTTATTTCAGGTGGTTCCTACTAGGGATTAGGGCTGTCAACGAATATTCTAAATTCGAATTTAAATTTGAAAAAAAAAAAGGACCTTCGAATGTGAAAATTGATATTTGATTGTGGAGAAAAAAAAACACACCACGCAGCTGTCCTCTTTGCAAGTGGGCGTTGGCCTGGGCCGCTGCACTGAACACACTGCATGACGGGTCAGAAAGGGGGGGCGAGCAAGAGGTCCGCAGTCGATTATAACGTAATGTTATAGTTGTTTTATGTGTTTTAATGTGTAGGTATGTAAATGTTTTCATAGACGTTTATGCTGAAATAAAAATACCTACAAGTACTTATGTTTCCTTGTATTAATACATATACAAGTATGTTTCCTTGTACTAGTTTGCCCTCTTGTGGACATGATGCGAAGAAAAAAAATTGGAATGGTTCGAACCTATGAGTTATTTTTAGAAGGAATATTCAAACGTCATTTTTGAGTAATTTTTACAGCCCTAATAGGGATGCACCGATCCGATATCTGAAACGAATATCGGCCCCAAAATCATCAAAATTGATGGATAGGTTATCGGAAAATGCAACCTATACCTGAGGCGATCCTTTCCCTTTAAATCTATTGCGACGAGAGCTACATCATACGTCATGGAGCGAAGGAGAGAATCTGCTGTGTGGAGGTATTTCACACTATTTCAACTGCTGTTGCACAATTGTTTATTTTTGTTAGGAATAAATAGTTCATCATTGCATTAATCTGTTTCATCTTGCTTCATTTGATCTTAGGAAAGAACTGTGTAGTCATCAATGCCTGATGCCTCTAGTCTTTTCTGTTCTACATGTAAAGGTATATAGCTTTTTAGGTCAACCATGGTATCAGATCGGTATCAGGTATTGGCTGATACTCAAAGCCACAGTATCATGATCGGTGTCAAAACGGAAAAAGCTGGATTGGTGCATCTCTAGGTCCTACCACACTGATGTACGTTCCACCATTGACAACCATGATTTACAGCTGTGTGTGCCTAGCGCTGCGCTCGCTATAAATGGTGCTGCTAGCAACTGGTCGGACGGCGAGAATTCAATAGAGTGCGCCAGGGATGACGTTTTTCTGTAGGCTGATGCAGAAGTTAGCGTTGCCTTGGTTTCCCTTGACAAAAAGCCTGTGGGACTTTTCCATTGGATTTTGGATTTTCGCAGAAAGTAAGCTCTGTGGCAAACAAATATTTATGACATTTACACATTTTGTTCAGCAAGATAATCTTCACAAATGAACACAACTTTCATGATTTTTGAAGCCTCAATGCAATCGCCAAAAGAGCTAACATTATAAACACACTACACCACAGTTGCATGACTTAACGTCACCACCACAGAGAGGCTGTAAAGCCATGGTCAGCCTGATGACTTTCTGTAGTCTCCTTAAGCTACTTGTTAGCAATCAATGTTTTAAACTGAACAAAACCTTCAACATTCACGAGGGTATTTACTGATGTATTTTATGTCGTAAAACAAAACGTGAAAGTCTCATCAGCTTGCGTTAACCCAAACCCATTCAAAAAAAAAAAAAAAAAAAAAACATTAACTTTTAGACGAGGGAACCAGGAGTGCTCAAAGCTAACTCATTTCAGGTTTTTAGCACTTTATACCCTGGAGATAGCGACTATCCAGACTCTGGCTCCAACTGACGTCACCAGCGCTAGATATTTTAGCTTAATTTTTGTACAATGGGAGAAAGTAGAGACACTTTGTCCACCTTTATATACAGTCATTTGTTATAATGCCAAATATCAGAATTCTTAATATTGATCATACATTACATCTATGACAAATAAGATCTCTTTGAAATTAAATGCATTAACATTATATTGGCATCTGTGTCAGGAGTTCTTTTTAAGAAACCTAACATACAACTGGCTGAATATTTGTGTGAGCAAAGTGACCACCACTTTCCCCTACCTAAATGATGGTAATTAATTCAGAACAAAGGTGTACCACTCCTGTAATTACCCCCCTGCAAGGCGACCCCATCAGTACACTGTAAAGCCAAACAAAGACTAATTATCCATGTTTCATTATACAGTCTGAAATTAGTAAATGACAATAGAAATGTAGACTGGCTAAATTGACTTAATCAGCAGTACTCCAGGGTTTAAAAAATGGGTAAAAAAAAAAAAGGGGTCAACAAAGGGACAGGAATTGTAGGTGTGAGCCATGTGTCTCTAGGCATCAACTCATCAGAGGATAAATTAATGCAGAGCCTTCCTCCAATGATTGTGCTCCTAATAGATAACTGTGTGAGGACAATCTCTGCAGCCTAAATAGCCCTCAATCCAGTTCAGACGTGAAAGTGACTGCTAACACACTGCTATTACAAACCCATTTTTCCTCCTCTATCAGCCGGGCTGATAATCCATTTGAGGCCTGTATATTTACTAAGTTTTGCAATATTTAAAAAGCATTGCTGATGGCTGGTTCAGTGCTCCAATCTCTCACCCCGCCCACAATGACAACATTACATGCAGCTGTATGTTCTGTACACACTGGTATGGGTTACTGACATGATTAAATACATTTGCGGGTGTTAGGCTGTTGGTATTTACTTTATGGTACATACTGTACTTTATGACTACAAGAATATCTGTCAGCAATCTGTGTTTTTATGTCTGTACATGCCAATCTGCAGGACTCTATGTTATATATTACTAATTTGTAGATATGATGAACAGGCCTCTACAACTTAACATCCAGATACACTACTCATCACTACTCGTCTCTTAGAAGAACAATTTATCTGTCCCTTTTGCCTCTATCTGTCAGGCAGAGCATGAAAATGTGACTTCAAGGTATTCAAAATGGTTCAATATCAGGCGCATAAACTGGTTCAAGACCCACTGAGACATAGGAACAGGAAGGAGCCTCTCATTGCATTGATGCTATCATCCATTTCCTGTGTGTCCACAAACAAAATCTCACAGAGTGTATGTGATTTACATATACACAATACAATATGCAATAAAGGGAAGTATAGCTCTAGATTAAGACTTTTTACATAAAGACACAAGAACTTATTGCTTGATCCAAATATCACAAATCAGTCAAGCCAGTCTGCCCTCCGTTCAGGACTCCTCCACAGTCAGGATATGGGTAGGTGACATCACTGAAGACCATCAAACCCTGGGCACAACCTGTTCCTACTTCTCCCCTCTGGTAGGCGCTACACAACAATATACGTCAGGGATACTTGACTTGCTTCGCTCAGGGGCCACTTTTGCAGAACGACACGAGGCAACAGTCCAGTTCATAAACAAAAGTTAATAATTAATATGTAAATGATTAGCCTGGATCTTTGCCGGGGCATTCTGGGGATCCTTCCCTGGCATTGTTTTACACACAAACTCTATTTTAATGTATTTCAATGCACTCTGGCACCTTATTTACATTAAAAGTCCTCCCAAAAAATTATACTTCTCATACTTCTACAGCGGTCTGATGCATTTTGTTTTTCTGTTTAGTTTTGTGACCTGTCTTTTCCTTCCATTTCTCTCTATATTTCTGTCCATATTTGTACTTTGAGATTTAAACTTTTTGTGCCCAAGACGCACCAAAGTGCAAGCAAAAAATCTCAAGGCACACCTATAGTTATATCTGTGCACAATAGCCTCTATAAAGTGTCACTTATCACGATTTAAAAGCGTGTTTTTATTGTCTAATATTAAATAACAGTTGACAACCAACCACTACTCATGAAATATTCTGTAATAAAATGATTTAAGAATTAATTTTAAACTTTTTAAAACTGCACCCAGGCACCAATAACACATCCATTTTGACAGGAAATAATGTAAGATAATATGTAATTCCCTCACGCTAACGGTGACAAATAGGTTCCCCGTGAAGGATTTTAAAATAAATTAAATTACATTTTTAAAGGTAGAGTTTGCCTCTTTACAGTCAATTAAAATTTAATTCATAACTTTTTGTATAGGCCAACTTGAATACTGCAATAATAATGTGTGGCTGTCACAAAATCCCGCGGCACACCTGGATTTGCATCATGGCACACACATTTGAGAGCCACTGCTTTGTACTGTTGTATCCACCTACCTCAGGTATATAAAGCAAACTTTTACATTAATCATCCCATATTTATTCCAGCACCATCTGCACAAATTTACTGTGTCAGTGCTTAGTATGTATATCTGGGGATACTTTTTTACACATCTTTATATCTGTATATGGTAGTCAAATGTTTATCTTTGCTTTGTAAACCTTTTTGTCCTTGTTTCACCTGTATGTCTAGATTCTTTATATGTGTGCACATACTTGGCCATTAAAGCTGATTCTGATTCTCAATGCAAACCCCCAGTATGCCTTTATCGTATTTATTGCCCCAGCTGATAATCCAATCCTGTAGTAGCTGGCAGTCCACACTTTCCTTTGGAGTTTGCCCCCTCTGGACCTGATTGTGGCTCTGTTTGGCAAGCAGCGAGGGGGTCACTGCAAACCTTTGCTTGTTTAAAGTTTAGCTCACTTGGGGCTGAGTTTACAAGCTCAATGCCAATCACTACTCCACATCAGGAGTAGTATATGATCCCAGATAACCTACAATGTGTTTCAGTTTTGCTCAGACTCTAAGCAGACCAACAAGTATCCTTCTGTACCATGTGCACCGCTGGCCAGCTCGACATCTGCTTTGGGAAATGAGGAACATCGGGTCCAGTGCAGAAAATGCCCCAAAGCAAGCGATAATAGCTGTGTTGTTACAACTCGTTTCATCAAAGCAGATAAAACAGTGCCTACAGTAAACTGAGGTGGGCTTAAATGCTTTGTTATCTCTGTCACTCACCATAGAAACGTGTCGTGTGTACTGTAAACTAGTGTACCCGCATGCTGTGAGTGGCGTTAGCATTAGCTTCGACAACGGCTAACGGTTAACTGCAGGTTAGCTAACTAAGCTAGCAGCAGCTAGCGTTAATCCCGACTCTCCTGCTGGGGCCGAGGTTTATTTTTGTCACTCTAACCCGCAGTAGGCTGCATCTTACCTGATAGCGGTGACTAGTACAGCACTTAAGTCCCCCCTCGGTGTGATATCATGGCAGAGGTTTGTCAGAAAATCGGTTTCCAGACTGCCCAGCGGCTGCTAGCTTAGCGTGTGTTGTCGGCTGTGTGTGTGGCGATGGGCCGGGCTACACTCGGCTCTCTAACAGCTGGTGGATGGTAATGGTTAAAGCTCAAACACATTAGGGCAAGGGACACTCTGGAGACAGGTTGATACTGCTGTCCTACAAACAGCTTTTACATTTATTAAACTAAATGTTGGTTATTCATTTTTTACATTGTCAGAAATTAAGTTATCTTAGAATAAACCCCTTTAGATGTTTTTAAGGGAGGGTCCCAAACGACCACTCAAATGAAAAGTACAAAAGACACAATGACAAAACAATCTAGAAAACAAGACAAAAAGGAACAAACCCAATATAAATAAAAAGAGAAATGATTAATCTATTAATAAAGGTACAGTGATAGCATTATTATAAACAGGCGATTTACAATTAACCCTGTTACAGGTCAGATGGAGCCCGAAACATAAAAACCTACTCCCAACTTCCTTAGATAAGACAATGAAGACAATAAAAAGACTTGTCTTAATAAAGAGAATTGTCTTCCTTAGACAATAAAGAGGCAGTGGCGCCCCCAACAAGGGGCCATGGCCCCCTGATACAATTGCTGGCCCCTCCACTTGCCCCTCGTGCTGAAGATCATTGAATATAATATAATAGAGTTTGAATGAGCGTTCACACCACTCCAAACGAACCGAACTATCCGTGGAAGCAGACCAGGGTTCGTTTAAAGCAGACCAAATAGCGCCAGCGGGAATGCGTCCTAAAGTACGAACGTGGAATAGGGGTGACAGAGTGGTCTCGCCTTTAAGCCGCCACAGGAGGTACTAACAGCGCTGAAACGTTGTCTATATACACAACAGCCAACAAGACAGGACGGGTGTGACGTTTTGACAACGTGAGAGATTTAAAAAGCAGCTGTTTGCAGTTAGCAGCTAACTCAAACAAGAAGAACAGCTATAAATGTCCGGAAATTGGGACAACAATGAGGTTTGAGAGCTCCTTACCCTCCGAGCAGAGGACGAGATCAGCCGCCATATAACAGAGATGGTAAATTATTGTTTTTGTTTGTAAAGTGGTGCCAAATGTTTTATGTTATGCCCGTCACGCCTCTTTTGATTCCGCGATGCCAGCATGCAGTCTATAATCACACGCTGGAGCAGCATGATGCAGACGTCATATGGATCGGTTTAAAAATACAAAGGAGGCATAAAGAAGGGACTTCTTAGCAGCCCTATCACGCAATCCCTGTTTAAAAAGGGCTATAGAGTTTTCTGAGTGTCATAACCCCCACAAAATCACTCATTTTCACTATCAGGATTTCGGTCCAACAAAATTTGGAAAGTCCAGAGGAGCCGCAAGATTAAATCATTTTATCCCCATTCAAGGTAGCAAAGCGCTAAACCGGAAGTAGCCAGCTTGGCCAGCAGAAGTCTCTAGTGTTCTTGCTCTATGGGCCCCAGGATGCGAAAGCAGCACTGATCATCTGGGTAACGTCATACCACAGACATACCGATTTTTTGGCTTCATGTGCCACTGAGCAACTTTCAAAGGGATGAACTGGGTCCTTCCTCCATGTCTCTTAATACATTCATGAACTGGAAGCTGACATTACTGTATTTAAGAGGCTGTGGTGTGCTACTTGTTTAGGCTAGGTGTTGGTATCTTGTAAAACTAGACAATCTAAGGCATGCATCGGTACCAACCATGTTGGCATAGCTTGTTGTGCAAGGAGTGAAGTGATGCTCCAAATTTAGGCAAAATTTTGGCAAACAAAAGACCTGACATGGCCATTTTCAAAGGGGTCCCTTAAACTCTCACCTCAAGACGTGAATGAAAATGGGTTCTATGGGTACCCACCAATCTCCCCTAAACTCCTTCAAATTAAAGCTGTATACATTTTTGTATATTATAACTATCCTGTATACTAAAACAGCATAATCGAGTTCCTGAAATCCAGTTATGCCTTGTGGTTTTGGTGTGCCGCCCCAAGATTTTCGGCCCCATGTGGCCACCCCTATGAAAAATTTCTGGGGGCGCCACTGTAGAGAGCCTTAGTGAATAATCTGATGTATAAGGGACATCAATGGTTTTAGACAACAGGAACAGTTAAACTTAATGCATTTAAAAACAAACTGACATGTTATATCTTAAGAGAGCCATCTGAGTGAATCTAACACTGTCCAATGGGATGTAAAAAAAGGGCTTGAACACCATATTCATGAGGATAAGAGGTGACTTTGGGTAATTACCTTCAGTCCTAATTATAAACTCAATATCGGTCTATAATAACCTGATTGACAAGGTCAGAAATTAACTTACTATCGGTGTATTAGCCATGAAGCCTTGACTCATGTCAGCTGACAGAATACAAAAAAGATTCCTAATGATGAATGACTGGCAAGTGGTATTCATTTAATTGGTGTGCAAATTAGGAAATTCTAGACATCTGGCTTTGTATTGTGACACAAATTTTGATTCTGCTCTACATAAATGGCTGCAGAGAGCTTTTTATTTAATTCCAGGCTGCTTACAACATCCAAAAAACAAAGAAATGTAAAGTTATGACGTCATTGAGCTCCTGTGACTGACACTTGATTGCTCCTCTCTCCTCATGCAGAAATTTGGACGTTCTTGTTTTGACTTAAGCCAAGGGCGTAGGGTTCAGGGAATAGGTTTTGGGGTCCCCTACGTGCCCCAATGAAATCTAACCCCATGTCCTAAGCGTAGAAATCCCGTCTCCACTTTCCCCTCCTGAACTACTTGGCCCTCATTTGTCCTTTTTAAGTTTGCAGTGCAATCACAGCTGACCCTTTCAACATGCCCTATGAGTCGCTTGATTGCAACAGAAAACGCCCTGTGCTACCACTAGCCTCTATTTTGAATGTGAAATGAGAGGCCTTCAAAGTCACTCTCTATTGTCTTTTTGTTGCCGTATTTCTCCCTTCACATTTTTCGCTATAAATGTGTTTTCTAAAAGAAGACGTTACCATTGCCAACTGAAAAGCCATCCCAGCCCCTCAAGAATAAACTTACAAGAATACAAAACAGACAGAACTGTAGTCGAAGAATGTAGCACATTATTTCGTAAAAGGTGAGGTGAAAACATATTACCTGGTTGCTGAGAAGTAGTTTGAAGCCTATATATTTTGTGACTCCCAGTGGTAGCTCAATGAAGTGCTGTCACTTTGGGTTGAAGTCTGCAGTTATCAGGACACCTGCAAAGTAAGCAAAGGCGTTTCAGTGCCGTCACAGAACTTACAGCCGAGTCACTTTTCATCAGCACAGTGTCAGGACGTACTGTACAGCCTCATGATGTCAAAGAACTGGCTGTACGCATGATTAAAAGCATCTAAACAGTGACAATCTTCACATGTACCGACCTCTATATTGGCGATAGTTTAGTTTCCTCTGTCGTAAGTCGCATGTGTGCGGTTATAACACTGACTTTTCCTTCCTGAAATACATATTCCACTGTATCTATCCTGATTTCTACACACTGCACAAGTACCCTCCCCCTTGCGCTGCGTGACACACTCCAAAGGTCACAGTCACAGGAATGCTTGAAGGACAGACAGAGTAGAGCCAACACCTTGTCCCTCACTCACACAAAGTCATACGCTAAAGTTAGGTGATAACTCTCTGTAAATAATTAAAGAGAACACTTTTTTTGCCCAACAAAATACTTCATGAAGCATAATTTTAATTACTTTTTAAAGTGTCTATAAGCTTCTGGCTTTGGACTTTTTAAAGACATGAATTTACAAATAGAGACCTCAGTTTTGTAATAAGAGGAAACAAACTGTGATGCTCTTGTCACATTATTCGGAACTTTATTTTCCAAAAGATTATTAATTTAAATTAAAGATGTGTGTTTTTTGACTGGCATAAACACAAATGCACTTTTCCTCTACAAATGCAAAGTCAAATATCACTGCACATAAATGCATCAAAGCTTTCTTATCCCACTTTTGTTGGGGGGGGGGGGGGGGGGGGGGGGTCTTTGTCACTGATAACGCATCACACCGACTGTCCATAAAACTTGAAGGTTTTAAACGCGGCGCGCTGTGGAGACGGCGAGAACAGCACCCAGGGGTGACCTTGTCTACTGATCTCGGACCGGTGAAAGGTTAATTGCCATAGTGGATTATGCTGTAAGATCAGTGACCTCAATCCCGGTCCAGCAGGCTCGGTTGGTGTCTTGCACAGTTCAGTGTGTTAAAACAGAATCACTCAGGATGGGGTTGAGATGCATAAATAAAAAAATAATTTACAGTTGAAGAAGGCTGTAGACGTACAATCATTACATCTGATCCAGCATGCATTCTGCATTTACTCAGTAAGTGAGCATGCATCACATTTATAAAGACATTGCACAGAGAGGGTTACATGCATTTGTAATTACACACTGTGAATTAGTCAGCGGGTTATTAGGAGGAAGCTTGTACTGCAACATTATTACACAATGTAGCCTACTAAATGTTTATTCAGTGGCTCGTGCCCCCTACCCCCAATAACGTGGCCACGCGAAGTTGCCAGGCGAATCGTGCATGCACATCAGGCTCCCGTTACTGACATCACCGCACATAGATTAATAATAGCCCCGGTGTGCTCTGTGTCTCTGCAGAGGACGGTGAGTAAAGCTACTTACTGGGAAATGTAAAAACATCGCAGGGTGTTTTTCTTTTTTTTTTTTAATCTGAAGTCAGTCCAGGCTTTGCGGCTGGAGAGTCCACCACAGTCGGTTTAACCGGTGTAACGGTGCTGTCCGAGCCTCGCGGGGTTCCTCACATCGCATCACTACGTTACCGGACAATAAGGTGATAACAACTAACCGGCGACACACTGTCTTGTCCGCCTGTTCGGTTCCGTACACTGGTGTTATAAATTCAGCTGAGGTTGTAGTTGGACAGCGAGACTTCACGAAGGGACACCTTGTTTCCGGTTTAAAAAGCGTTTCACAATAAAATGCAGAATCCGGTTTATTACCAAGCAGGTTTTTCGCATACAGGGGCGTTGCTTTGGAGTATTGGTGTATAACATAGACTAAAATAAAGAAGAGAAATTTACAATAAAAGCGAGTATTGCAAAAAAAAAAAAAGAAAAGAAAAAGAAAGAAAAAAAATCAAGAGACACAGATAGTCTATGCAATAGAAGAAAAATACAATAAAAAAAGTAAAATATTTTAAGCTGTGCAGTTATTCAGCAGTAGTAGTTGTGCAGAAATTTGCAAAATATTGTCCAAGGCATGGATGTGTCATTAAACAGGCCTACTAGGCACAGGCCCAGGAGCCCATTTTGTGCCCCTTTGCATCTCTTTGTGGTCCTTTTGAGGTCTCTTCCTGGTCGGTACCCATGAAGGGATTACTGAACAGGCCTACTAGGCACAGGCCCAGGGGCCCAAAATGTGACCTTCATCTGCAAAATGTCACTTAAATTAACAGGTACAGACAGCGGCGGATTATCAGACAGTGCATGGGCTCAGATATGAAAAAGGCCACCTTCCTCTCTTACATCTGAGCAAGACACACACTTTATGGTTGTTTAGTTTTGTTTTGTATTGTTGTTTTCTTTTTTTTTTTTCTCCTTCTTCTTCTCCTCCTCCTTGTATTGTTGTTTTCAACTCAGTCTCACTCCAAAGTTGTCGGAATCTGGCGCTCGGGCAGCGAGTCGAAAAAAGCTGTCCTTTCACATCGGCATGGCCGCTGGTCGCTGTTATGATTTAATGCCGCCCGACAGCGTCAGAGGGATATGTGGCAGGACAAGAACAAAAGTTAAGGTGTCAGAAGTCTGAGTAAGGCGGGAGGAAGGGGTTGTGGATGGGTCCAACGACCATCGACTAGAAAACGCACAATGCATGTAACAGGCAGAACATGACACAGCGTCATTGCACGTCGTATCTGGCTGTGGAAAGTCCATGACCAAACGCCAAGGTGTGACAAGGTCGTACTCGTCGTGCTCTTTGTACTCGTAATGCATCTTCTTGTGGTTTTGTATCTCTTTGTAGTTGTTGAAATTGTAGTTGAGTGTCTCTTCCTGGTCAGTATGTGTTTATTTGAGTGATATTTTGCAGGTGAAGGCCATGAGGCCTGCCTTACACTTTGGGCCCCTGTGCCTGGTAGGCCTGTTCAGTCAGTATATGGAATCCACATCTCAGAGGAGCTCTTGTGGTCCATGAACAACAAGGCAGTGATGATGAAGGTCCGGCAGTGACTCCACTTTCTGTGAATTCTCAGTAAAAAATAAGCTGCTGGTGATCTTCTATCGCTCCATGATCGAGAGCGAACTGCATCCTGATGTTGTACCCTGGGAGCTCGGCTGCAGACAGGAAGACTCTGCAGAGGGTCATGAACACAGCCCAGGGGATTATCGACTGCCCTCTGCCCTCCTAGGAAGAGACCTCCAGCTCCACTGCCTCAGAGGGTCCAGCTCTATCCTCAATGACTCCTCCCACTGTGCACATCATCTGTTTGACCTGATGCCCTCAGGCAGGCGCTACAGGTCATTGAAAGCCTGCACCTCCAGAATAATGAACAGTTTATTTCCCTGGGCTGTAAGAACACTAAACAAACAATAATCATGTGCAGTATCTACACCGTGCAATATTTCTATTATATTGTTCTTATTTATTTTATCATATGCTATTAAAACTATTATATAGCTGTGTATATGTCATGTTTTCACTGGTTATATTGTTCTATTCACGCCCATAATCTCATTATATTTAGTATATAATGACAATAAAGCTTTCTATTCTATTCCTTTCATGGGTACCAACCAGGAAGAGAAATCAAAGACACCACAAACAGATGCAAAGAGGCATAAAATAACTACAAAGAGACAAAACAACCACAAAAAGGTAAAAGCAACACAAAGTCTGCGTGTAGGAGAGGTGGTGGGGCCTTTTGGATACCTGTGCCCACGGGCCAACTGTCCCAGAATCTGCCCATGGTCTAAGGAACGTGCAAAAATTCCCAGTATGCATATGAAGCAGGCCATGAAACCAACTTGTGTTATGTACTCACATTACATTTTAACTATCAGACAAAGCCACACAACACTCTATAGCATCTATCCTTTCCCACCTGAGTGTGCAGCACGCTCCCTAAATTAAACACAAATCACAGTTTTATTTGACCAAGCTCAAACCAAGCGACTTCCGGTTCCTCCTTTGCTCCTCCTCGCCAGCTTTTCGCAGCTCAGTGACGCAGCCTGTATCCCGTGCCTTCTCTCCTCCCTCTGCCCAATTTGCGTCCGCTGTGTCTCCGTTACGTCCGTACGCACCTTCCACCAGCGTCATCAGTATTATAATACGGGCCTGCAACTCGTGAAAAAAAACACCATGACCCAATCTACGTTAACACTAATGTAGCCCAGGTATATTTAATAACATGTGCTGCCACAAGAGTCGATCTCAGATCAGATGTGTCGCGTCATTTGATCAAATCTGATGTTGCAGCAGCACCTCCCCCACTGAAATCCCTAAATTCCCACAGGGGCTTAATACAATTTTATACATTTAAACATATCTTTATATGGGCCTTATTGTACACTTAGTAGCTTTGGTGCTTGCAAGCCAATATGATCAGGGTTGTTATGAGAGTATTTTAATTATGTCACAGACTTCAGTGGACTGCTGCAAAGAGAATCAAAATGTCCCTCGCAGCGCACCTCTATGGAAAATGTAGTCATGCTGTCGGTCTTGTGACACTGACCCGGCTCTCTCCACCACTGCACTATTTGGACACGAGCCAAGGAAGAGGAGATCAGGAGATCACTGCAACGGGATGAGAAGGGGAAATAATCAAGGGATAGTAGTTAGGAGGGGGAAAAACAGAAGCCTGCGATAATACAGCGTGACAGATGAGTTAAAAAATGGCACCATCAAACATGTCTCAGAGATATCTTTGCTATTAATGTTTAATGTTGGGAGCGACAATTAAAAGATTTCTCAGTCCAACTCAGTAGCCTGCTGCTTCTCGAAATAGGCTGCCCCCCTGCGCTCTGCAACATGCCTGGTAACAGCTGGCACACAGAGGAGGGAAGTTGTCACGGAGGAGCTGGCAAACTTGTCCACTAATTTAAAAAGAAATGGAATAAATAAGATAGAAAAAGATAAAGAGAAATGTGGCAGCCGGCAGCGCACTTTGGATAATATTTCCCCAAAGAGCCAGGCATTATCTCTCTAATTATAGACCAATAAACGTTAGTCTAGGCTGTTTAAGCCAATAAGCGCTACTTGCATTTCCCTCGCTTCTGTGTCAGAGTTGCAGGACGACAGACAGTGTGTGTGTGTGTGTGTGTGCGTTTTGATGTGGTCACATGTATGCAGCGGGCTCGGGGCTCGGGACAGGCTTTACGCGGTGCGCGCACGAGAGGAAAAACTGACGGCAGTGTCATTGCGACCTTGAAGCAAGGTCACTGAGTCTCTGCTGCAGACACTGCAATTCTGCGGGGCTGCATCACACTGGTGCAGAGTCTGCATTATCATCCTGTTAGAGGCGAAAGCAGTCATGCTATATTCATTAGATTCACCCAAACACCAGGGACGTTTGATTTGTCTGATACAGTTTCTGGATTTTGAGATTTACGGCATTGTAATATTATAAGTGTAACTGTCCTGCTCGTGTAAGAGGGGACAAATGTTCAAGCTATGAGGAGTGCAGGAGTAGAAACACACTGTGAGTGCCAGCTGGGGTCCCTAGGGTGGCTCCTTACAGCAGGTCCTGACCTCAGACAGGTGTCAGCTGATAGGCTACATAAATACCAAGAAGCCACTGATACACAAATAGCATTGGGCACTGCATCAGTGAGTCATGGATAACAACACTGATAGAACATGCTCCACCTATACTATAAACACCTTAATCAATCACCAGTAGTAGACTGAATACAGAGGATTATAGTAGAAGCAGCATGGGGTGCTATATCATATAATGATTATCAATACTAAGGTCCATGATAATGTCACCAGGTTACACTTAAAGGTCCAGCGTGTGGGATATATCAACACATTCTCACTCCGACCTCGTCACATATTGTCGTTTGGTTTCCACGTCCACTTAAGATGTGCAAGGTACCCTGGGTGCGTTGGATGATGACCTGGGACACTGTGTCAAGTTCTGCCTGTTACATGCATTGTCTTTTTTCAAGATACACTTCCGTTTTCACAGGGAATTTAACGTTTACTGTACATACATAGGTACAGTGCTGAAAATTGACGTTTTTTTCCTTCAACAACAAAAACACATGGTTAGGTTTAGGAAAAAAAACAGGGTGTGGCTTTAGAATCTTACAAGATGCGTACATCGCTCCCTGGGGTGAAAGTCACTGCCCAAGCGTCGGATTTCGACGACTTCGGAGTGAGACCGTGCTCAATATATTGCCGTAAATGGAAAAGTACATAATAAGTATACTTTCTTTAATGTATAATCACCTGAAAATATGAACTGACCCTTCGCTAAGTCCCGCCCCGGAACACAGACTGCCCATTCATAACTTAGCATTGGGCTGGCTCAGATCAGGGTCAGACAACAACACAGCTGCGCTCCCTTGACTCGAATGCAATCATTTCAGATTTCCTTCATTTTCAGGCTGGTTTTGTGGATTTGGAGCTAAATGTTGTGCCTGAGGCACATCGTGTATTATTGATACTCATTACCTGGAGAGGTTGGAGAAAGATATACGTGTCTTCCCTGTTCCAAAACCAAAATCAGACCCTGAAAAGTGCAGGGTTAGCTAGCTAGCTACTGAAGATGTAGCCTACTGAATGTATACACATGCTGATTTTGCTTTTTAATGATTATAACAGTGAAACAAAGACCGACCCTGCTGTACAGGAACCAGTGAAGGGAAGCAGGGAAACTTTGCTGATATTCAACCAGCTCTGTGTCATCGCCAATGAATATTGTCTGGGTGCTGGCAGCAGCACGGGGGAAAAAAAATAATAATAAAAAAATAATAAAAACAAAGTCTTTCTGGGGCCACTAAACATATTTTAGCTTTATAATAAGGTAACACAGCCTAAGGAGTCCTAATTAGCCAATCAACATTACTAGAAGGTCTTAATGAGCATTCATTCATATGTTTTACCACAAGGTGGCTATTTTGCAATGGGGAATTTATGGTTAATTTGAACTTTAACTTTGCAGAGCTGGTGGTTAAAGCAAATTAAGCTGTCCACACACTATTAAATTCACAAATTAAAATGTTAAAAAATGAATTACCATTATTCATTTGCATATTTTCTTTTGTCAAAGCCATAGGGACACCAGAGAGGGGCAAAAGAGCCACATGTG